GGTGAACCAACGGCAAAAGGAAGACCTTTCTCTCTGTCTCTCTCTCTCACTGTCCACTCTGCCTGTCAATAAATAAATAAATAAATAAAATAAAATAAAATGGCATTTGACCAATCCATTAAAGCAAAAGTAAGAAAAATGGAAAACTGCTATAAGCCCACAGTATAAGTACTTGTAATGAATATAAAAACAAATGGAGGCCGGCGCCGCGGCTCACTAGGCTAATCCTCCACCTTGCAGCGCTGGCACACCAGGTTCTAGTCCCGGTTGGGGAGCCGGATTCTGTCCCGGTTGCCCCTCTTCCAGGCCAGCTCTCTACTGTGGCCAGGGAGTGCAGTGGAGGATGGCCCAAGTCCTTGGGCCCTGCACTCCATGGGAGACCAGGATAAGTACCTGGCTCCTGCCATCGGATCAGCGTGGTATGCCGGCTGCAGCGTGCCAGCCGTGGCGGCCATTGGAGGGTGAACCAACGGCAAAGGAAGACCTTTCTCTCTCTCTGTCTCTCTCACTGTCCACTCTGTCAAAAAAAAAAAAAAAAAAAAAAATACTAAGAGCAGATGGGTAATTCTTATGATTGTAATTTTATTAAAAATACCAATGTTTTGAAAAACAGAAATTCAGCTATATATAATTTACAAACCAAACGAACCTACCAAAATAAGCCAAACTCTGAGCAAAAAACATTGAAAACAAAGGTATAGGAAAATATTTTTTGCAAGATTAAAACTAAAAGAGTTAGGAAAATACTGAGTAATTTATTATTATCATTCAATTAAGCCTTGGAAAAAATAGTTTATAGTAAACTATAAAGCTGCTGCAATATAACTTGGGCTGATTTCTCTATATCTAGAAAACTCAGGGGACTTTAGGTAATTAGTAATAAGAATCTAGAAATTAAGCACCCATTTATAATTACAACCAAAAAAACCTCTAAAATCAGAGACAAACATGTTACAAAATGTATACACAAAAAATTTCAACAACCCTAGAATGAGATTAAAAAAACCCTCAGAAGTAAACAGTACTAACTTGACATGATATAGACAGATACATGATTTAATGATGAGACTGTCATTAAAGTATAAACTCTCAAACATTTGGCACAGCAGTTAAGACACTGCTTGGGACACTTGCACATCATAGAAGAAGGCCTGGTTCTAATAATAGCTCCACTTTCAGTTCTATCTGGTGCACACCCTAGGATGCTGCAGGTGATGGCCAAGTTCTTGAGTCCTGTCACCCAAGTAAGAGACTGGACTGAGTTCCAGACTCGTGGCTTCAGTCTGGTGCAGCCCTTAGTTGCTGCAAGAGCATTAAGGAAGTGGACCAGCACACAAAATATCTCTGTCTTTCAAAGAAGTATTTAAAAAAATCTTTAAGAAACATTATCTCAAAAAGTCAATTCTAGGGGCCAGTGCTGTAGCGGAGCGGGTTAACACCCTGGCCTGAAGTGCCGGCATCCCATATGGGCGCCAGTTTGAGACCCGGCTGCTCCACTTCCGATCCAGCTCTATGCTGTGGCCTGGGAAAGCAGTGGAGGATGGCCCATGTCCTTGAGCCCCTGCACCCACATGGGAGACCCGGAGGAAGCTCCTGGCTCCTGGCTCCTGGCTTTGGATCGGCGCAGCTCTGATCGCTGCGGCCAGTTGGGGAGTGAACCATCAGATGGAAGACCTCTCTCTCTCTCTCTCTCTCTGTGTAACTCTTTCAAATAAATAAATAAATCTTTAAAAAAAAAGTCAACTCTCATATAATATACAAATTCAGTTTTATTTTTAATTGCATAAAATGATCTTAAGATTCAGTTAGGGGGCTGGTGTTGCAGCATAATGGGTTAAAGTGGTCACCTGCAATGCCAGCATCCCATACAGGCACTGGTTCATGTCCAGGCTCCTCCATTTCCAATGCAGCTCCTTGTTGACGTGCCTAGGAAACCAATGGAAGATGGCCCAAGTGCTCAGGCCCCTTTCACCAGTGTGAGAGACCTGAATGGAGTTCCAGTATCCTGGCTTTGGTATGGCCCAACCCCAGCTGTTGTGGCCATTTGGGGTGTGAACCAATGGATGGAAGATCTCACTCCCTCTCTGTTTCTCTCTGTAACTCTGCCTTTCAAATAAATAAATAAATAAATAAATAATCTTTTTTATAAATCTCCAGTTAGAATACATTGCCTTTTTTTTTTTTTTTAAGATTTATTTATTTATTTGAAAGGCAGAGTTACAGAGAGGCAGAGGCAGAGAAAGAGAAGTCTTCCATCCACTGGGTCACTCCCCAAATGGTCGCAATGGCCGGAGATGGGCCAATCCGAAGCCAAGAGCTTCTTCTAGGTCTACCATTCAGGTCCAGGAGCCCAAACACGTGGGCCATCTTCTGCTTTCCCAGGCCATAGCAGAGAGCTGGACTGGATATGGAGCAGCCAGACTTGAACTGGTGCCCATATAGGATGTCAGCACTGCAGGTGGCAGCTGTACCCAGTATGTCACAGTGCCTGCCCCAGAAGAATACATTTCTAAAAACAGAGAAGAAAAACATGAAAATAAATGAAAGAGAGCTAAGAAGAATAATAAAATATAAGAAGTGAAGCTTTCCTCATCAAATATTAAAACATTATAAACCCACTAACCAAATCAATATGGTGGCATTCATTAAGTCAATTACACTTCTCCATACCTTGGACAAGTTTATCACTCATGGGAAATTTTTATTTTCTTCTATAGTCTGCCCATGTTTAGGTAAGTGGCTCAAGGCTACCCAAGTGGAGCCTTTCAGTCATTAAAAAGTAAATGGACATAGTACTATCCTCCATTTAATACACTAAATGGAGGCGATTCTTAAAAACAAATTTCACTATTAATGTTTCATAAGTTAACAAGAGATGTACCATCTTAGGTTCTTTTTTTAAAAACAATTAAGTTTTTTTTTAGAGATTTTTTTTTTTTTTAATTTATTTGACAGGTAGAGTTACAGACACTGAGAGAGAGAGAGAGGGAGAGAGAGAGAGACAGAAAGGTCTTCCTTCTGTTGGTTCACTCCCCAAATGGCTGCTACAGCCGGAGCTATAAAGATCTGAAGCCAGGAGCTAGGAGCCTCCTCCTGATCTCCCATGTGGGTGCAGCAGCCCAAGGACTTGGGTCATCCTTCACTGCTTTCCCAGGGCCACAGCAGAGAGCTGGACTGGCAGAGGAGCAACCGGGACTAGAACTCAGCGCCCATATGGGATGCAGGCGCCACAGACGTAGGATTAACCTAGTGCACCACGGTGCCTGACAATTAAATTTCTAAAAGAAGGGGGAGGAAGGAAGGGAAAAGAGGAAGGAAAAAAAAAAGCGAAATCACCTTCGAGAATCTATACCATTGAACAGCCCTTGTCTATACTGTTGAGGAACAGTTCTCTCAGTTTTTTATTTCATTTTTTTTCTTTCTTTCTGTTTCTTTTTCTTTCCGGGGCTAAACAGGAGAGGGAGGGGGAAGAGAGGAAGTGGGTGGGAGGGAGGGTTCAATGGGAAGAATTCATATGTTCCTAATATTGTATTTACAAGATACATATAAATGAAAAAATAAAAATTTAAAATAAAAAGTGAATGGAGGACAGGCATTTGGCCTAGCGGTTAAGATGCCAGTATCCTGTGTCAGAGTGCCTGGATTTGATTTTGGTTCTGGCCTTCAATTCCAGTTTCCAGCCAATGAAACACTGGAAGGAAGCAGCTGATAGCTAAACTGGATGGATCCCTGCCACCTGTGTGGGAGACCTGGTCTGGCTGCCTAGCTCCTGGCTCTGGCTCCAGTCCAGTCCCTGACACTGCGAGCATTTAGGGGGTGAACCAGCAGGTAGGAGCCCCATCTGTCTCCCCATCCAAAACCAACCAAGCAACCTGGATGGAGAGATAATCGTGCCAACTGGGACTGGAACTTGGGCTACAGCAGGCTGTATTCCAGCTCCTTCCCTGACTCTGCCAGGCCCAGGATGCCCTGACCATACCCTTCACAAGGTCTTACTCTTCCAATTTGCATGAAATTAACTATCTTTGGGTAGAGTATACTTTGTTACCCCACTGCCAACCCCAAACATATTCATGAATGAATTCCAGTTTCTTTCTCAATGGCCCCTTTGCCGAGTCAGACAGGTGTGCGCCCTACTCTCAGTAAAGGTCTGGAGGTAGACAGTGTCATGGCTCTCTTCAATCTGGCAGTTAATGGACAGTCAGAAGCTCTGATCCCTTTGAGTTCTTAATATGGAGATTCTATTGTTTCCAAAACCTATTTGCAATAGGATTCACCTGGAGATCATTAAAAAAATACAGATGACAGCGCCTTGTATCTATATACTCAAAAGCTCTAACAAATGTCCCAGGTGTTCCAAGTTACAGGAAAAAAAAAAAAAAGCTTGTCACTGTGCCATTCCTCACAAAACAACTCATTGCTGTCTGTTCTTACCTGTTTCTTCAACTCAGTTCAACAACCTCTAGCAGTCCTGCATGCAAATAGCTCCCACAGATTTTCATGGGACTGGTTTTGGTGCCCCTCCTATGAGTTTCTGGAGCTCCTGCACTCTCACAACACTTATCCTTCTATCTTATCTCTCAGAACTCAGGATGCCACACCACAATTCCACAGACTTCATTATGAAAAAATGTACAGTTCAGAGCCAGTAAGAAGAAAGTATTGAAATTGTCTTGTCTTCCTTTGTCTGTATTTTTTACTGGGCTGTAAACCCTGCAAATAGGACTCTTCATTCACCTTTGTACTGCACAGAGCATGGCAGGGTTCTCTAATATTCGTTGACTACATTACTGAAAGATACCATTAAAGAGTTACCCAGCGTTACAAAAGAGGAAACAAAATCCTGTCGAGATTATGGTATCAAGGTCACCAAATATTCACATGCAAAACCTGGGGGGTTCCCTGTTAGGACATGCCATGCCAAAGAACAGTCTCCTCTGGTGTACATTTGGGTATGAGTAAGTCACTTAAGTTGAGCATCCACAAAAACATGACTTTACCTGTTCCTACTGGATTAGGAGTATATGGAGGTGGAGGAGGTACTCCTGGAGCTATGACATTGGCCAATGGTACCAGACCTGCATTGTTGAAAGCACCTAAAATACAAATGTAATACAAAAACATAATATCACTTTGTGGCCAGGTTCTCAAACAGAATTAACTCAGTTTTCCAACTTGTTTTTAAAACTTACACTTGCATTTTACATGAAGGTTTGGTCTAGAGAAAATGGAAAGCAAATGAGACCACTGAAGATTCCCACTTCCTACTACACGCTCACTCCAAGCAGAAGCTCCCTGAAGGGCAAGGCAGGCAGAACTTGCCAGAACTATTTGTCCTTTCTGTCAAGCGTACGTACTTGACTTTCTAAAGTTAAATGCATTAATGATACCGCTGGACAGCAACTACCAGGAAAGGGATTCAAAGGGTTTTCCAAAGTGAAAACCCATCTTAATAAAGAATGATTAAAACTAATCTGCCATTAACTTATCAATACTAAAAAAACTCCCTGGTGCAGTATCATCAGCTAGGACACTAGTAGCTGACTACTGGCAAAATTAAACTCATAGCAGCAACTCACACATGCTGCTGGTCACAGAGACCAGGACTTAGTTTCAATTCAACAAATAAATACACAACAAAGGAGAAAAACAAGTAAAAAAATAAAAGATCTCCTTACTTGGTGCAATAGTTGCATGCGGCCGGCATGGAGGTATTGGATAAGGAACAGGTTTATGCGGATTGTATGTTGAAGGAGGCTAGATAAGGAGAGAGAGTAAAAGAGTTAAAAGATAAAAGAAAATTATGTAAGCAGTCTACTGGCAAACAAAGTACATCTTGTCTAAAAATGCCACAGTGTTATCAAATACTGCTAGACTAAGACAGGGTTCAAATGAAGAAAATTTTGTTGTTTTGAATAAGCTTGTTTCCTAATAGAGTCCAAAGGTGGATCCTGTCAAAAATGTCTGTGGATTTATTTATTTATTTATTTATTTATTTTTAATGATTTATTTATTTATTTGAAAGGCAGAGTTACAGAGGCAGAAACAAGAGAGAGAAAGAGGTCTTTCATCCGCTGGTTTACTTCCCAAGTGGCCAACAATGGGAACTGGGCTGATTCGAAGCCAGGAGCCTGGAGCTCCTTCTAGGTCTCCTACATGGGTGCAGGGGCCCAAGGATTTGGGCCATCTTCCACTTTCTTCCAGGCCATAGCAGAGAGCTGGAGCAGCTGGGACTCAAACCAGTGCCCATATGGCATGTTGGCTCTACAGATGGCAGCTTTACCCATTACGCACAGCACCAGCCTCTGGATGTATTTACTTTTAATTTCAGTACCAGATCATCTCTAATCAAATCTCAAATAGTACACACCTTTCTACTAGACCCAGTCTAGGTTAAGCTAAAAAATTCCTATCTTCTATGTATCTAAGACAAGAAATACTCTAGGTTTTGGAATCTCGGCTACTCAAGAATTCTCAATGGCCACATCCCCTAAACTCCTTAGGAATTCATTCTGTCATTCCCACCCTCATTTCTCCCTTTGAGAGACAAAGACCTGCTTGCTTTAGCTTTCAGTACTTTGACAACACTGTAGAAACTAGACTGGAATTAGGAATTCAATACTGTAGTTTTAGTTCTTTTGTGTTTTTAATCCACAAATAGGTAAGAAAGAGAATTAATTAATCTCTAGAAACTGGAAGAATCACAAGTTAAGCCAAATGCTGTACCTTTACCTAAAGAAAGCCAGAGAAGGTGTGAGAAAGGAGAGAAAGGAACGCACTTTTTGGGGTGAGAAGGGATCCACAACCTTTCTAGCTCTTATGATGGTGGTCACTCCTGCAGCACTAGCCCTATGCAAGGACTATGATCTGAGAGTGTTTCGCCACAGACAGCTGCCCCGGGAATCCCTGCCCTGTGGATAGGCTGGCTGCAAAGTAGCAGTGTGTAGGCCACAAGGACTTCACTGTGATAATCCTTCAACACATACGGCTGTGTTCCGTCCAGTTCACATTCCAATCAATATAATCATTCCCCCTGAAAGTACTCTCAACATCCTAGATCCGTTCTTCTTTCACTATTAAGAATTTGGGGCCGGTGCCATGGCTTACTAGGCTAATCCTCCACCTGCGGTGCTGGCACACCGGGTTCTAGTCCTGGTCGGGACGCCAGATTCTGTCCTGGTTGCTTTTCTTCCAGTCCAGCTCTCTGCTATGGCCCGGGAGGGCAGTGGAGGATGGCCCAAGTCCTTGGGCCCTGCGCCCACATGGGAGACCAGGAGAAGCACCTGGCTCCTGGTTTTGGATCAACGTGGTGCACCGGCCGCAGTGGCCATTGCAGGGTGAACCAACGGAAAAAGGAAGACCTTTCTTTCTCTCTCACTGTCCACTCTGCCTGTCGAAAAAAAAAAAAAAAAAAAAAAGAATTTGGGCAAATCACACCTTCGCTACAGCAAACTCTCCTCACTCTATACTTGCAACTGAAAAGCTCATTGTGGCTAAAGGGATAAAAAAGTTTTTGACTGGTATCCCTTTATTCATTTATTTAAAGCTTTGGAGGGTCATTTTTATTTATTTTCTTATTTATTTGAGAGATGGAAAGACATTCAGGCACAAAGAGGACCCAGTTCACCAGTTCACTCTGCAAATGCTCACAAAGGACAGAAATTGGGAATCCATCCCATGTCTCCCACTTGGGTGGTGAGGACACAACTACTTGAGCCATCACTTGCTGCCATCACTTGCTGTCTCCCAGGGTCTGCACAGCAAGAAGCTAGATCAGAAGTGCAGTCAGCATTATAAACCAGATATTCCTATATGAGGTGTGGCTGTCTCAGGTGAGATCTTAACTGCTAAGCCAAATGCTTGCCTTGGTTTCATTTTAAAATGCTTACCCTCAAAAGGGCCCTTACTAGGTTAACTAGTTATACAATATTTCCCTCAACTATTCAACTACTCACCCTCCTACTCTCTAAGAATTTTTTTTTGACAGGTAGAGTTACAGACAGTGAGAAAGAGAAAGGTCTTCCTTCCATTGATTGACTCCCCAAATGGCTGCTACGGCTGGCGCTGAGCGGATCCGAGCCAGGAGCCAGGTGCTTCTTCCTGGTCTCCCATGTAGGTGCAGGGACCCAACCTCTTGGGCCATCCTCCATGTCCTCCCAGGCCACCGCAGAGAGCTGGACTGGAAGAGGAGCAACCGGGACTAGAACCCAGCAGCCATATGGGATGCCGGCGCCACAGGCAGAGGATCAACCAAGTGAGCCACGGCACTGGCCCTGAGAATTTCTAATATACTTTAAACTTGGCAATAAAAATTGAACTTATGCTATGAATAAATATGAAACTACATTTTGAAGTTAAGATTTGTTTCATTATTTGTTTTCTAAACATACAGGTTTGGATGGTCCAAGAATCCGTGCAGCTATTCCTTTGCCTTCATTGGTACATTCTTCACCATCTTTTTTCAAAGGTGTACCCTATTAAAAAAGGAAGGTAAAAAAACAAAAATCAAATAAACAAACTCATTATGATACATAGATACATTTTCCTCCACAAAATAGATAAATCAGAAATAGACTTCAGTGCCACAGTGGGCATGATGCCCAAAGAATCAAAAATAATACCTGTATCATTGATGAAAATAGATGAGAAAAACAGTGCTCTTCATAAATATTAAGTGTGATCACTTATACTATGCAGGGTAAATGTGACTTCACTCAAACTGCTGTAACTGATAGACCAGAATAAGTTCAGATGACTACAGTGTCTGTCCCTAACAGTGTGTATCCCAAATGGTATACACTAGCATGGAAGCCAACTTTGAAACAGCCTCCACAGATCCCCTCCCAGAATCACTAACAGGATATGGCAGAAATGATGGCATTGGACTTCTGAAGCCAAGTCAAAAGGGTCCCTGTGGTTTCTACTCGCTATCTCCTGTAAGACTTGCTCTGGTGCAAGCCAGCACCATGAGGATATTTGAGTAGCACCACAAAAAGTCCTGTGGCAAGGAATAGAGGCCCCCTGCCAACAAGCAACACCAACCTGCCAGACATGTATGCGAGCCACCTGGAAAGTCAGCTCTGGAACTCTAATCAAGTGTTCAGGTGAACAGAACCTCATGAGAAACTCTGGACCAGAACAACCCAGCTTGGCCTCTCCCAGATTCCTAACCCACAGAAACTACATGAGCTGATGAAGGTGCATTGTTTTAATGCACTATTTGTCACACAACAATAGAAAGATAGCATTCTCTGAAAAAGTTACTTTACAAGGAAGTCTGAAGAACACTGGATGATATAAAAACAAGCTTCTTTCTTACAGGACTCCTCAGAGCATTTATTATGCAATATCATTTCCAGGAAGGAAACTGTGAAGCTGTATGAAGAACACTGAGAGCTCGAGAAATGCTCCTTTGCTAAATATAAATCAGTACTTCTGAAGTACACTAAGAGACAGAATAAAACAAAATTACCCTCTCTTTGTTTGGCTGGTTCTGTAGACTTTGCACAAATAATTTTATGGAGTTTACACACGGTCTTTCAGTTAGTGGGTGAATTGATGACTTAAGTTGCTGGTATAACAAAGTTGCTTTTCTTTGTAGAAGCATTATCAACTGGCCTGTTCTTTAAACACCACTAGCTTATGCTACATTTCACACTAGTCTCGTGAATTTTCATAGATAGTCAAGAAATTGTGCTTACTGGGAAAATTCCATTTATGCGACTAGGTTTTCCTTTGGGATATGGATTTCCTGGGATGGTTCCACAAGAAGATATCATAGCATGAGGAGCTTTGCAGCCCCCCTTAAAAGCCTGTAATTAAAAAAAAAAAACCAGTTAAATAGTCTGGATTTTGGGAATCCTAGCTAAAAAGCATGAATAAAAGAATAGAATCACAGCCAACCTGCTCACAAATCAACCATCATTTACTATGATGAACATGACCAAAAGCAATGTAAGTAAAACTGCTTTAAGTGGAATTATTAAAATGACACTGTTACTAATCTTGCAACTAATAAAGTCTTACAAAATTATATTACCACAGTGGGTTTTATAAATTGTGTGCAGAAACATATATTTATTATTTAACCTATTCCATTTCTCCAACCACCAAGAAACAATATAGTCCAAATCACAAACACCAAGCTTATGGTACAGGCAAGGCAAAGGGGAAACTGAAAGAGATATGGATCATTCTAAAGAAGTGTACAATTTGGAGAAGAAAACACAAACAAGGAACTCAGGACAATAAGCACCCAAAGAGCCATGCCTTTGAGAAAGCAAGGAACTCAGGACAATGAGCACCCAAAGAGCCGTGCCTTTGAGAAAGCAAGAGTTAGTAATTTTACATAATTGTGGGATAAAATAAAGGTAGGAATTTTGGTTTAGGATGTTTATTACTGCAATCCAAGACTCTAAAATGATACCTCACATAATGAATTAGTGCTTAATACATATTTATTAAGGAATAAAAAACACTGTACTAGACAAATATATCCCAATGACTCTATAATAATACCTAATTATACATAAATATATATATATACAGTTATATTTTACAAGTATCTATGATATTACACATTTGGTTGCAGTTGTAACATATATTGGTTTTATAAATTCATTCCCAACAAATATAATTATTAGTTATACAATCTCAATCCTAAAATCCATCTCAATTTTGGGGCATTATAAATAGTACTGGGGTGAATGCCCTTCTGCATGAGTTTGAATATTTCTACTAATTTCCTTAGAAAAAAATCCTAAAAGTAGAACTTCTAGGCCAACATGAATTTTAAGGGCTCTTCAATTTTACCTTCCAGGAAAGCTGCACTAATTTACATTGATCACAAAGCCTCCTCCACAGAACTCTCAGTCCCAGAATATTTCTGGGGAGGAAAGTGACATGAACAGAATGCATTACAAGTAAGAAAACTAGAGCAGTGATATGCATGGCACCTTAAAAAGTTTAGTTCAGGAAACCAGTGATGAAGCTCCTGAAGAAGTGTGGGCTCAGCGCTTATGTCAGCTGTAAAAATGGAAGACTGAGGCAAAACTGAGGACTCTCCCTGGGCCTAGAGGAAGTTTTGAGGATTAAGTGACCTTTCAAGGCCCTGGGAGATTAATCTGCATCTTGTTCGTTCAAGCGGGTTTCTAACTATTATGCTGTTTCCAGTCATCACAATCCTAGGAAATTACAACCTTACAAGATGACAAATCGAGTTTTCTAGAGTTGAACAAGCACTGATTTTTCCCATGCTTGCAAGGTCTAAGCTAACAAACTGAAATCCCACTTTAATAGTCATCTCCTATAAATCTAATTAACATAGCTTGATAACAAAACAAATCTGAAAAGTCAGATTCCAAAGTACATAAGTTAAAGACAAAACTTGGAAGCCACAGCAAAGCTACCAACAGACCAAGACATAAATAAGCACCCCGTGAGGCACAAGCCAAGTGACCAATAAGCTTTTCCCCCTAACTAAGCTATCTCTTCCCCCCTCCAGTATTCCCTTCATCCCAGCTCCATTTTCACTTCATGGATTGCAAGCAAGTTCACCTTTGCCATATCATGTAACAGCACTCATCAGATTTACCACTCTGAAAAATAAGCATATCATTTTCAAAGCAATCCTGAGAAAGTTACCTGTTCAAGTACTCTCTTGCACCGTTTCTTCTCAGACATATTTATCCTGAATAAATCTTCGATGGGACGAGAGTTTTGAGCATCGACAATGTTTCTACCAAGGAAATAAAATTTAGCTTTCCATTTAGAAACCTGGACATATGTACTGGAGTCTACAACTTTCATTTACTGCACAAACATATCTGAGTGAACTTTCCCTATGACACAGGGAGAAAATGTGATTATTTACTATTTTACAGTTCAATTTAAATAATGTTTACAAAACATTATAAACAACTGAAGTTTAACTATCTGATTACTGAAATGTAACAAAATAATACTTTTATAAATTATTAAAAATCTCTATTTTGAGATTTTTGGAAATAAAATATACTCTCTTGAGTGCATCTTAGGAGAGCTACAGCAACAGAACCAGCCTATCTGTTAAATGCATAAAAATCAGAGCTGATCTAAAAGTGAAATTTTGCCTTATGCTTTGATGCTGCATCTTTGTGGACATCTATAAATGTAGAAGGGATTTTAAAATGCAGCACTCTTCAATTACATACAGGAGTAGGTTCCTTCCTTTTTTCTTTGCGCTTACATACATTAGGTTTACTTATCAAATGCCCTGGTTAGGTTGCTTCCACATTCCTTATAGTATTTCAAGTTCATATACACTACTAAGTGAGTGAAATTCTTGTTTTTAAAATAGAAGGAAAAAAAGGTTCAGAAAATATAAGTAACCTGCAAATATTATCTTTCAGTAAGTAGCAGAACCTCTCACTCTTAAATCTGTCTTTACCAAATCCTAAACCTTTCAAGTTACTCAGGCAAGGCAAATTGCTGAGATGCAGAAAATCAAATTAAATAATTAATCTTGATGAGTTCCATTATTTTATAAGCCATAACCATGTGTGTACTGACTACACTGGATATCTATTCCCTTGAAGAAATCAGAATTTGTCATTACATTTTCACAGACTATTTTATTACAGCCCTACATACTAATATTAAATGACATATTCATGAGCTAAAAGACAGAAAATTCCAAACTTTTATTTAATAAAATAAAAAAGAAATACTTACGAAGCCAACAGCTCAAGAGCAACTAGCTTGTCCTTACTGAAGGTGAAACAGTTGAGTATATTTACTACTTCTGCTGGATGAACAGCTACCATTTTCTATTAATATAAAACATAATTTTATTTTCAATATGTGAAGTTTTCATGCCAGAAATTACTCTTTTTGGAAGTACAGTTAATGCCCTTGATATAAAACATTTTAGGTGAAATATTTCACACTTTAAGAAAAAGCTACTTCCTCAAAAGCCCCAGCAATTCAAACAGAAGTTCTAAAAATATGTGAATTATATTTCTACTTTCAATGTCACCATTTTAGATGGTAGATAAATTCTATGCCCACTTTTCAAAAATCTTTCTTTGCTTATTTTTTATTTTAAAGAAAGTGAAAGAGAGACTGATCTCCCATCTGTTGGTTTACTCCCCAAAGTCTTGCAACAGCCAGCACTGGGCCAGGTTAGAACCAGGAACCCAGAAGTCCATCCAGGTCCCTCATGTGGATGGCTGAGACCTAAGTGCTTGAGCCATCATCTGATAAGTCCCAGTATGTACTAGCAGGAAGCTGGAATGGAAGCAGAGGAGCTGGGACTCAAACCAACACTCCAATACAGGATGCCAACACCAGCCCTCAAGCTCATTTTAAAATTCACTTTTCTCAGTGTGTTCCCTATAGCGTAAAATAAATTTATAAGTAATACATTGCTCAGAGAGGTCATATAAAAAGGTGATATTTATATATTTAGGAGATTAAATTGCTTGAGGTGTTAAAAATATTACATTCCTGTACAGGTGTGTCAGAGATCACTAGCATTTTCCCAAAGAGTGGTGCATGGTGCTAAATGATGTCACACAGGACAAAGCGACACAGGTATTCTAGTCTGATAGGCTAGGAAAAAATAGGGATAAACAGTTTTCCTTACTGCAAAGCTTTCTTCTTTTTTTTTTTTTGTTCTTTTTAATGATTTATTTATTTGAAAGGCAGAGTCAGAGGCAGACAGAGAGAGGTCCTCCAACTGTTGGTTCACTCTCCAAATGGCTGCAACGGCCGGAGCTAAGCCGATCCAAAGTCAGGAACCAGGTGCTTCTTCTGAGTCTCCCATAGGATGCAAGGGCCCAAGCACTTGGGCCATCTTTCACTGCTTTCCCAGGCCATAGCAGAGAGCCTAACTGGAAGTGGAACTAGAACCCATATGGGATGCAGGCATTGCAAGGCAGTAGCTTCACCCACTACACCACAGTGCTGGCCCCAAAGCTTTCTTTTATTTAAGAGTCACAGTAATGTACATTGTGGCAATCTAACACTCATAAAATGTTACATAATTATTTGACTAGCGTACCTTCATTTTTAGAAATCATCCAGAAGATTATTCTATGTCATAGAATTATGTTAACAGTAAAGGAAATTCAAAAGAAAAGTTAATGTAAGAAATAAGATTGGGGCCGGCGCCGCGGCTCACTAGGCTAATCCTCCACCTTGCAGCGCCGGCACACCAGGTTCTAGTCCCGGTCGGGGCGCCAGATTCTGTCCCAGTTGCCCCTCTTCCAGGCCAGCTCTCTGCTGTGGCCAGGGAGTGCAGTGGAGGATGGCCCAAGTCCTTGGGCCCTGCACCCCATGGGAGACCACGATAAGTACCTGGCTCCTGCCATTGGATCAGCACGGTGCGCCGGCCGCGGCGGCCATTGGAGGGTGAACCAATGGTAAAGGAAGAGCTTTCTCTCTGTCTCTCTCTCTCACTGTCCACTCTGCCTGTCAAAAAAATAAATAAATGAAATAAAAATAAAAAATAAAAAAAGAAATAAGATTGGTTAGCATTAACACCCAATAGTTTCTGAAACTTGGAGCAGTAGTTTTCAATGCATTTATTAATGTATCATCCAAAGAACTGATACAACTATGTACCCCTTTGCATGTTTTTAATTTGATACCCAAAGATTTTACCAGAAGTTTAAATACAAAGGTACTTCAAAAAGTCCATGGAAAATGGAATTAAAAGATGCTTATTTTGGTGCAAATATTTTGAAATCTATGCAGTTTTTTCTTAATATACATTTCATACAAATTATGAAAAAAAAAACTTTTTGTACCAAAATAAACTCATACATTAAAATTCATTTGTCCACAAGTATTTTGAAGCACCCTCATATATCTATCTGGAAGGACCTTGGAACTACTAATTTAGCGCATTTAATTCATGGAAATGTTCCTTATGCAACCTTATTGGTACAGAAGGTTGTAATTATGAAAACAATCTGTCAAATCAGATTGACTTAAAAAAGGTCAGACTTAATTTAATTCACAAGTATATTAAGTTGTCCTATGATACACTTCTCACCTCTGCATTTTAATTATAAAGAAGCAGACAGGCAAGTTGGCCTCACAGCTTTGTGAGGAGCTTGCTGTCTTGATATAATAGGGTCAACCCCTCATCAATATTTCCTATAAAAGCTGAGAGTGGGCATTTAGCCTAGCAGTTAAGATTCCTGTGTTCCACAACAGAGTGCATGGGTTTGATTCCCAACTTGGGCTCCTGACTCCAGCTTCCTGACCATGCAGACCCAGGGAGTTAGTGACGATGGCTCAAGAAACTGAGTTCACCCACATGGGGGACCTGGATTATGTTCCCAGCTCCTGGCTCCGGCTGGGCCCAAGCCTGGCCCACCCTAGGTTATGGTGGATATCTGGGAAATGAACCAGCACATGGGGGCCCTGTCTGGTTCTCAAATGAATAAAAATTTTGAAAACATGTATTTCTTACAGAAGCTCTCTTTGCTTTGCTCTCCCTCTCTCAGGAGCAAAGCATTGTCTCTTTGAAAGGTGGAGAAAGATTTCCACCCCAGAGAACTGAAAGGTAACTCTTTTGTGAAGAAAAAAAGAAATCGTTAAAGAGAAGGTGAGAAAGAAGTACTAACAGACCCAAATACCTTCTTAGGCATTTCAGGAAGTCAAAGATCTTTCTCCGATTCCACTAAAGCCAACCACACCTAATACTTGGAATATTTTCCTCTACAGTCAGATACTCCAATTTGATCTAGGTTCTAGTGCAGAGCCATACAACACAGTAGCCACTAGGCACTGGAGCCTATTTAAATTAATTACATTTAGTCCTGCACTCCACAACAATGGACCACATATATGACTGGGGTCTCATGATGATATTGCCTAGTGACAACCTAGCCTTCTGATTCACAGGATGTTCGCATAAGGATGAAAATGCAGAACAATACACTTCTCAGAATATATCACCATTATTAAGCAACGTATGCTCCTAAATAAAACTAGTTCCTTGGAGCCTGCATTATGGCATAGCAGGTTAGGCTGCCACTTCAATGTCGGCATCCCATATGGGCGCAGGTTCGTGTCCCGGCTACTCCACTTCCAATCCAGCTCCCTGATAATGCACATGGAAAAGCAGAAGATGGCCCAAGTGCTTGGGCCACTACACCCACATGGGAGACTCAGATGAAGCTCCTGGCTCCTGGCTCCTGGCTCTGGCCTAGCTCAGTCTAGCCATTTGGGGAGTAAAACAGCAGAGGGATGATCTCTCTCTGCCTCTCCTTGTAACTCTGCCTTTCAAATAAATAAATAAATCTAAAAAAAGAAAAAAAAAAAACAATAGAAGCATAAAAACACTGGAGGATTCCAATCTTTTATTTTGCTTGTCAATCCATATTTTCCTCCTCCAATTTGCCCACCAGGATGCTGTGGTGTACAATTTAATAGTATAGTATATACAATTTATATTTATATTTTGGAAAGTTTTGCTTTTCAACATAGCTACTGAATAATCAAAGTACAATAAAATTTAGGATTTGCTTTTCTGATGGACAAAAATTACAACTTGAGATAATTATCGAAAACTGGGGGAATTAAAAATACTTAAAACTCTATATTCTAAGGAAAGTTAAGTTACTTACATGCTGTAATGCCTTCATTGCCTTCAACTGAGGCTCAGCCCAGGAAAAATATCTCAGTAAATCAACCACCTGAAAGCAAAGACTAACTTAGCTCTAATGACAGGGTGTTTGCAAACATTTCTCTAGGATTTATTTCAGTACTTGGAATTCTGTGCAACCGGGGCCCAGCTAATCAGTGTCACACTAGACTCTAAACATGCTAAAAGAACAGCCATACATGGCTCTACACATTTAAATCACTTAAAATCCAATAAAATTTTAAAAATTCAGTTCCTTAATGGCACAAGCCATGCTTCAAGTATTCAACAGCCACATGAGGCAATAGCTTCCACAACAGACAGTGCAGAGAACACTTTCAACTTCACAGAAAGGTCTGTTGGACAGCACTGGTCTACAAAACAAAAAATTTACAAAACAGGAAAAAGTTTCCTAATTTAAAAAAAAAGGAACGTTAAAAAGTACGTGAAAGAGTTAAATGTCAGCTTAGGAATACAGAGAAATTTGGTGAATGGGACAGTTTTAAAATATTAATGAAGAACTGATACAGCTTTAATCAACCACAGGGTATGAGGGTGTGGTTTAACACAGGTCCGCTAACTTCCACCCTTTCACGTGAAACTGGAAGGCATGATATACCCAAGCTGCATTCCCTAAACATGTAAGAATTGCCATGAATTGCCACAGCAGCTTCTGACCAGTGCCTGTTTTGAGTTTAGATACTCAGGCTCTCCAACTCTTACTATCAGCAGCAAACTTCCAAGGAATGAGGGAGACAGCGTGATGCAGGTGGCGAGAGGCGAGCAGGGAGGGTGCCAAGCCCAAACCCCTAAGTCTCTACATGATCACTCTACACTGATCCTATGTCTCCAAGTACACTCCACAAAGAAAAGCATAAAAAATTTCTTGGGATGGGAGGCACCATAAATCCTGACTTAATTAAGTATTTTACTGTGAGTTCCTGCAAATGTGGTAATGTTTAAATTATTCTGTAAAGCAAGGTTGGAGGAGCTAACTGGCGTGAAATAAAGAAATAATACCAAACACGCATCGTTTATAAAAATGAGTATTTTTCAAAAACTTTTGAAAACACTTTGTAATGTACAGATTTCATATATTTTTGCCCCCAAATCAATTATCATTTAATTCTATTTTCACAAGCATTTTGAACTTAATATTTATGTGTACATGTTGTGTATGTGTGTGTATATATGTGTATATTTGTGCATATGTGTGTATAAATTTTTTTTTAAGTTTTGAAAAGCTTTGAATCAAAGTTTCACTACAGTATTATGCTTAAGGCATTATTCTTGTTTTAAACAACTTATTAGACATCATATGCTTTTTTCTTAGTTCTTTAATTTTTATTTAGGGGATTCATCAAATATATTTCATTATTCACATTTTCTTTTACATTATGTACTGAATTTTGCAATCACTATCTTATAAAATTTTACATATTTGAGTAAGTTTCCTATTAAAAGTTCAAAAAATGTTGGTATAGTGGACAGAAAGAAAAACACTTTAAATGTTTTGACACTAGATTTGAAAATCATGTTAGAATATGCTATTGTGGTGAATTTGTGCTGTTTTATAAAATGCTCCTGAATTATAAATTCTGTAAAACTTTCTCCCAAAGCTGAAAGCTTCTTAAGTTCTTGAATAAAGACAGCAAAAAGTAAAAGCAATCCTGAATTTAACCAGCAGGTCAGCATTAAGCAGAACACTGATATAAAAGAAAATCCTTGTTGAAAAATATGAGGAATACCTGTTCACTAGAGAAGTATCCATGCACATATTCAATTGCTTTTAATTTGTACTCCGTCAAAACAGCCTGAAAAGATACAGAAACACAGCGTTAACATATGGGAGCAGCACGGTAACATGCATACATCATCAGAACGGTAGAAGCCACTCAACAATGTGGCCTCCTTTAGCCCTGCCTTGCAGAAGGCTGCTAAGGTCAACATAGTGACATGACATTTTACCTTTCCAGGGTCCCACTGTAACACAAATGAGTTAAGAGCACATCTTGGGCCTCCCTACTCTTTCCTAAAAAGAAAACGAATAAAATGGAAACTGATAGCATTCAACATCAGTAGAGAGTACATATAGAATTCCTGTGAATGTAGTTAAGAGTTTTGAAATACAGCAGGTCCAACCAAATTGTCACTGTTAACATCAAATGTATGGGACATCAATCATGACTTACTTGCTGAGCACCTGTTATGCACTCTGATAAAGGAACAAGAATATACAATGTCGAGTAGAGATTCTCAGTGCTTGTTCCGGGATACAAGAACCCCGAAGCATGAGGGTCCTAAATTGTCTGCATCTGCCATTGGCTGGCAGCCTTTGAGAAGCATTTTAATTACCCTGAAAGTTTCCTCACCCATTAGAGGGAACTTCATTCACTACCCATCTCAAAGAGTTACAGGGAGCGTAACAACAGCCAACATCAGATCTGACACACAACAGGTAGTCACTAAATGGAATCCATCAAAAGTAGGGTCACAGAGAAGTTCACAGTCTTGATACAGCACTATCAAGGCCAACAGTAATCACACATGCTCCCTCTGCAAATATTTGCTTAATGTAGCTATCAAAACTTGACAAACACTAACCATGAAAAATCAGTGCATCTCTTTGCTTTAACTACAAAACAATTATATTTGTGCTTCTCATATATACGATTATACTAGGAAAAAATACCAGAGAAGTAAAAACTTCCAGGGTGCTCAACAGCTTAGCTTTCACAGATGAAGAGTGGGTGGATAATGTACTCTTATGAGTTTGATTACCATTTATCATTACTGATCAGTCAGAAGGAAGCTTCTGGATCAAATCCTGCACTGTGTTGGCACCAAGTGATGTCTCAATTATTTCAATGCCTGAGAGGCCCAGCTGTACCCCCAGGCACACCAGCACACCACAGTCTGAACACTGCTCCCCACAACTTGCCAGAGAGGTAACTTTGAGTTAACTCAGAGACTAGGAAAAAATAGGAATACAGTACCTACCTTAAGGGTTGCTAAAAGATCATATCACACAGGGAAGGTGTTTAGAACAGATTCACACAATAAGTGCCCCCTAACTCATGTAACTCAGTATCTCACTTTTGATTAACAAAGTCAACATTCCTGTCCCCTTTCCTTTCCTTTGCTTCCTGTTTTCCTAGTGTCTCCTTACAGGCCACTGCATTAAATTAACAGTCTTAACTAAAATCCAATGGTGACAATCAGGAAAAGAGATTAAAGGGACCTACATACACAAAGTCTAAAAGTAATTCTTTGAAAACATAAAAAAATTCAGGGGCCAGCGCTGTGGCATAGTAGGTTAAGCCTCCACCTGCAGTGCCTGCATCTCAAATGGGCGCCAGTCCAGGATGCTCCACTTCTGATCCAGTTCCCAGCTGATGGTCTGGGAAAGCAATGGAGGCTGGCCTAAGTGCTTGGGCCCCTGCACCAGTGTGGGAGAGACCCTGAAGAAGCTCCTGGCTTTGGATCAGCCCAGTTCCAGCCGTTTCAGCCATTTAGGGAGTGAACCAGCAGTTGGAAGACTTCTCTCTCTGTCTCTCCTTCCACCTTTCTGTAACTCTGCCTCTCAAATAAACAAACACATCTTTAAAATGAAAAGTCAATAGTAACACTCATACTTAACTTATTTTTAAGGGATCAAGATGATGGAATGTTTTTAATCAATTGGTAAAGCCAACAAAAGACATACTTTGATTGCTGACCAGAAATATGGATTTAAGTTGCCATCTTATGAATCTGTGTTTCATCTCTGGAAAATGTGTTATTCTAGTCATTAGTATTTACTATGTGGCATTTCTGTCAACAGAAGGGAGGGATTATGCAAACTGACACTCTATCTTCCAAATGTAGAAATCTGCTAGTCAATTCTCTCATCAGCAGTGAACAAAAATCAACTCACAAACTGACAAATTCTAAGTATACAATTAGTAAGCCACCATTGCATTTCACACTTTAATAGAACAAACTGGCTCTGCAAAAACAGATATTTGTTCAAATAAGAGCACTGTCATCAAATATGAAAAACGGAGCATCAATTTGAAAATGAAAAGAAAAATTGTTAAAAACACAGTAAAAGAGCAAGGCCAGATACAATTTTACTAATAACTTGATGAACTGAAATAACCATCAGAGCACACGGTGTCACTTCCCTTCTGGTCTGGCAAGGGTCTGACGACTATGTAAATGCAAGTAAGTAGGAATCGCCCGGAAGGCCTAGGCCAGGCACCTGGTGTCGATGCAACAATGCCAGTTCCTTTCAGTCCAAACAGGTAACATTTTTTTTTTCTGTCCTTAGAGATATTGTAACACATTCCGAAAATTGTTGCAGCCTGGTTCACTCCGAGAGTTAGGATACATAACTTCCACAACACGGTTTCTCAAGTTCAGCGTTAACGTAACTTAATTTCTACTTGCAACGCGAAATGCATCCAAGAATCGAATGCCTACACTCCACGTGAAAATGCAAACCAACCTGGCAATGCGACGACCCATATCATGTGCAATCTACACACAGTACCTCCAAGAGAATAAACAGTAGAATCTCGTAGAATAATTGAAGGAATCTAGAATAATTACCTTTCTAATTTCATCCAGCACCGTTTCAAAGGACTTTTTGTCCATCTTTCCTACTTTCTCGTGGTTGTAAGCTACAATTTCAACTACAAAACGTCCATCTCTCGTCTGCTCCGCGGCCAGTAAAAATGTTTATAGCGGGGGAGAAAAAAAGACACCCAGAGCAAGAGAAAGGAGGCGAAGAGGTAGAGTATGGCAAAGTCCGCAAAAATTTCTAAAAACTGAGACTTAGAAAACTTTTATTATTATTATTATTAAAAACACTCCCGTCAGACTTTCCTCAGCTTCTTACACAAAGCTTCAGGGCGCTCGGGGAAGAGCCGGGTCCTCTGAGTCCCGCAGACAAACCCGGGGGCTCAGTAGCCAGTGCTGAGCCTCCTTGCCCTGTCGCTGACGGCCCGGCACGGCCGGAGGATGCGCGTGAAGCCGCTTTCCCGGGTGCAAGTCGCCAGGGAAGCAGAAGCACCTGCGCCCCGAACCCCGCGGGCTGCAGGGGGGAAGGCGCCGGCCTCGCCCTCACCGTCGCAAACCCGGACGCATGGCCCGGGTCGCGCTCCCCCCACCCCGGCCTCTGAGCCCGACTCCGAAATCCTGCAGCCCGGGTAGCAGGCGGCCCGGCAGGCTCTTTGTTACCAGATGCCGAGGTTTCCGGGAGCGGGCCGGCAGCCAGACAGCTTCGGGAGCCGGGCGAAGGGGGACACAGCCTCGCATAAGGGGACTCCCGAACACCGCAGTTTGTAAACCGCCAGGCGCCTGCCGGGTTGCCCCTATAGCCCCCACCAGCTCACGGGGACCTTCTCTAAAGCGCGTCGCGTCGCAGCAAAATCAACTCCGCGCCGCCAGCCTGGGCCGCTCTTTCCTTGGAGCCAGGAGAGGGGGCCTGATGTGGGAACATAGGCATCTACAAAAGATGCCTGATGCCTTCGGAGAGGATGTGGCTTAAGTCCGTTTCAGAGCCCGGAAGTGATTTCTTTGAGTGTCACATCGTCTTTCAGACAGGAATTCCGTGTGCAATATGTTGATTGTTCAACCTGAATTAAAAGAATGACTTGCGAGCGGGTAAGGCATTTTCTGAGGGCGCCCCCATTTTTTTTCTTGGTGGGCGGGAGAAGTCCGCGGCGAGGACCGCCCAGAGGACACGGAGGCGTGGTCACTGGGTCTACCAAAGCACCTGACTAGGGAGGCGGGGACCCGAGAACCTGCCGGGAGTCTGGGCTGGCGTGGGTGATTCTCGCCGCTATCTCCGCTCCGGTTCTTTCTCAAAACGCGCGCCTGCAGTGAGGGTGACCTGGAGGAAGGGGCTTGGGAAGGGCAGGGCCCCTGTGCGTTGACGAGGGGCTCGGGCCCGCGGCTATCCCGGAAGTCCCCAGCCGCCTGCGGGCGCATCTCCTCCTTCGTCGTCTGGTCATGGCGAGATTCTGGGTGTGCGTAGCCGGCGCCTGCACCTTGTTTGCGTTGCTGGTTTTGCATTTCCACATCTGTGGTTCTCCGGTGAGCTGGGTGACGAGGATCTGAATGACCGGCGGGTGTATTTGCTGGGAGGCGACGCCAGTCTTGGGCGAGGCGTGTTGGGCTCGGGCTCCCTCTCCACCTCTCCCGCTTGTCTGAGCGCTAGTTTGGATGCAGTCCATTACCATTTCCTTTATTTCCTCTTTTTCCCCAGCTCCTACTCCAGCCTCAATCTGCAGGCTCGTATTGTGGTCGTCTCAGCCTTTAGATGGATAAGCAGGTTTCTTTGGAATGATTTCAGTCTGGCAATCCAGTTGTCGATGCATGCTGCAGATAAACACTGCGTACCCAAGCCCGCACCCCTCTTCTTTTCCTACCTAGAGGGAAAACGGAATCTTAATTTCTTGAATTTTCTTAAGGTTTTTAGGAAACTTTCTTTTCAAGTTAACTGGAACACTAAGGAAATTCTTTACCGGCTGGATGTGGGTTGGCCCAAGTATTCGGAATACTTCACTGGAACAACGTTTTGTGTTGCAGTTGACTCCCTCAATGGATTGGTTTACGTCGCCCAGGTAAATAAACAGGGATTTATAGTATGTTAGAACACAGAGGAAGCCACATTCTACCTGTTGCACTGTGCTGATTTTGTAACTTATTTTTGGGTTGTTTTCAAGTCAGTAGTTTGGTTTTGAATGTGACATTGTTAGATTTTGGAAGGTGGTATTTTAAAAGTTACTAAGTTTGTCGATTAACCTTTAATTTCTGTTTCCCTAAGCCACAATAAAGATGACTGCTCCTTAGAACCTACCCTATCTAAGCAGTTATTTTTGTATACCTTCAGAGAGGGGATAACATCCCAAAGGTATTAGTGTTCACAGAGGATGGATATTTCCTACGAGCCTGGAATTACACAGTTGACTCCCCTCATGGTATATTTGCAGCCAGTACACCACACGAACAGTCCATCTGGATCACGGATGTAGGAAGTGGTATGTGTAGTAATGTCTATTCAATTATCTTGCTAGAAATCACATCTTTGCCCCTGTTCTTGCTGGTACATTTTAAAATCACAGTTGCCCAATCTAATTGCAGTTTCTTTAATAGTTCATGATACAAGCTTGTCTGTAAAAATCTTCACATACTTCTACAGAATCAAGAAGTTTAGCAAGAAGTCTAGTTAATTTGGTCTTTATTTTAACTTGCTGAGGGACTTTTTAAAAGCATCTTTTATTCTTCTGATTAGATAAGTCTGTGTCTCTCCTATGAAGCCAGATAAAACAGTGATCTTAGAAGCAAATGAATGCAATCCTTGCCAGTCATTTTCCTTCACCGTTTCTCTTTCGAGAGAGACTGAGATTGTTTTGTTGCCCTGAGCACAAATTTTGTATAGATCGGTGATCACATTTTTGAAATTCCACTGCAATGTGTCTGAAATCTTCCCACCATCAAGTATTTTTAGTAGAAAGTGGTGAAAATGATTGAATTTATAACTATGAAGAAAGCATTTGGGGAAGGCAGTTCACCTGTACTGTGGCTTAACACAAGGCAGTACTACAGTCTGGCGTGACCTTAGGGACTCAGCATTAATGACTGTGACCCAGTTAAGCTCTGGGTTTGAAGGACATTCTGCTAATTCAGATACCAGCCTTTAGAACTAATGAGGTCTCAAAAAAAAAGAATTTATGCGATCTAGTTTTTAAGTAGTGCCTTTACCACGTCTGTTCTCAAAACCCAGAAGATTTCTTGGTCTCAACTGATAACCCATTTATTTCAAGCAGTATTTTAGCTGGTATGGTTCTGGTTAAAATCCTAGATTATTTCTGAGTTCATTGCAATACTATGATGAAATCTGTCTCTTCTCACTATTTATTTTTCAGAAGTACTGCTAAAGTCCTTTACTTTAATTCACTCCATTCTTATGATCTTTTTTGTAGACTTCACTGATTGCCAGAAATAAAAACAGCACAGACGATATCCTCATTCTTTCCATCACAGCTTGCTTTCCAACCCACAGATCTGAAAATAGTTTCTATGTTTCTTCCCATTTTTCAAAGGAATAAATGTCCTCTAATGAAAATATGACTGCAAGTCAGCCATTTACAAAACACATTATTTCCTGCTAGTCTATCCCTTTTGCCAATCCTTCAGAAGCTTTGGGGTCACTTTCTTTAATAATATCATGTTCTGTTATGGCTATACACACTATTTAGCTCAGACTTCCAAAGAAAATACAATAATAAATACATGTTCAAAGATAGACTTATAAGGCAAGCTGATTTACTTTATTGATGGTGAGCTCAGTGTTTCCAGTTCATCCTTTGAACACCTCTCAGTTTTTTTATATGCCTTCATGTTGATTTCTATTAACTGCTTTATGATTTTTTATTTAATAACTTTCTACTTTATGCTTTTTCTTTCAAAATCATTGTAATTCAAAGAAATTTTAATGTAATTAATAAAATAAGACACTAGTGATTGGGAAGATAATTTCCTTCCTAGGAAAGAAAAGTAAATGAGTTGCTTCCACTGAGAGAAAAAATAGCTAAAAATTGGTAGTATAGAGAATTTTTTATTAACCTACTGATGTTTAAGATCTATCTGTGAATAACTGAAGTAACACTTTCAAATAAAAGATCTTTTTTACAATTCCCTCTTGATTTTCTTTAATAAGCAGTGCTTGTTCAAGTGCAAAAGATTAAATAAGAAATTAGTGCATCTATAATTTGTTAACATGAGTTTTCTGTAGAATGTGTTCAAATTTTTTTTTTTTAGAATTTAGAATCAACTTATTTTGAAGTAGCTGAGACTAATTCATGAACGAGTTTGCCTGCAACATAAGAAGCTCTATTACTTGTCAGTTACAATATTTAATTATCTGAGCCTACCAGTCTTTGATTAGTATTAATTCTGGCAGATTTTTACTCCCAACTTTCTTGAAAAATGTGACTATGCAATGGTGGTGTATATGCTTTTCTTTACAGGATCATATGGTCATACTGTTAAAAAATACAGTTCCTTGGGTGATCTTGTTCAAGTCTTGGGCACCCCAGGGAAAAAAGGCTCCGGTTTGAATCCTCTGCAGTTTGATAATCCTGCAGAATTATATGTAGAGGACACAGGAGATATCTACATTGTGGATGGAGATGGAGGATTAAATAACAGGTTGATCAAATTGTCCCAAGGTAAGTGTGGCTTAATTTTGTATACTATTATAAGATTTATGTTTTTCAGATAGGATTTGTTTGATATTTGGTATAATGTTGTAACAGTGTTGTATGTGAAACTATGTGTAAAGGGTAAAGTGTGTCATCAAGATAAAACTAGAAGACAGGTGGGTGAGATTGGCAACAGTAATTGATTCTGATAACAAGCCTGCTTATTCTGCACCAAAAGCTAGGGGTTTCCTCTGAAAGGAACTGGAGGCAGTATGAGAATTTGCAATGATCTCAGGATATCAGTGGGCATCCTAACCAATCAAGAAAGAAGTTAGAAACCTAGACTCCCACCCTTAAGGCATTCTGGTCTGGCCAAAAAGCCCAGGGGAGCATTTCAGGCATGGAAAGCCAAAACACTCTGGCAAAAAATGTTATGCATGAAGGATGTCTGTGGGTGAGACCCCAGTGGAAAAAAGTGACCACCAAAGAAGGATGTACTTTTCTCTGAATGGAGGAGAGAACTTCCACTTTGCCTTTGCTTTGTTGAGTTTGTGGGCCCAAAAAGCCTCCATAGCCTAGGCAGCTCATGTCAAGAGCTTCGGGTGGTCCCTGACATCATACATAAGAGTGTTAATTGTTAAATTAGCAACAAGAGTCACTGTGTGCTAACTTCCCATGCAGGACCTCTGTCCTAAAAGAGTTGGATTATGAGATTTAGTAGTAAAACTTGTTCTCAAAGATTTACTTCATTTAGGGTATTAAGTGGAGGAGATTATTATGTCTCATTTATAGTTATTCTAAGAGCTCAGGAAAGATGTATCATTCTTGGGTTCTTCTTTAAAAGTAATTAAGTTTCTAAGTTTCTAAAAAAAAAAAAAAAAAGCCAAAGTACTTCAAGATGCAATGACTTTGAAAAGCCCTTGTCTGGACTGTTGAGGAAAAGGTTTTTTGTTTTTTGTTTTTTTTTTCCTTCTCCTACAAAGCATTGAACTCTTTACCTAGAATAGAGTTAGTCTTCTATAAATAAAATTATATGAAAATAGATCTTAGTAAAAAAAAAATAATAAGATGGAGAACAAGAGAGGGATGTGGAAGAGGGGTGGGAGAGTGGGTGGGAGGGCGGGTACTGTGGAGAGAATTACTATGTTCCTAAAGTTGTATTTATGAAATGCGTGCATATGAAAGAAAGAAAGAAAAGAAACCTGGAATCCCAGTGTCACGGATCCTGCAAGCTGATTGATAGCAAACGCTTTATTGCGTGTTCGACTCGGTGTTCTCAGTGGTATCAGTAGGTTCAGGTTCTTTGCTATAGGTAAAACAATTAAACATAATTATGGTATTGATTCTTCGAGCAACATGGGAATTAGGAGAAGGAGAAACTAAATTGACTGGAAAAATAGGACAAGATATCGTGAAGGAAGTGGTTCTTAAGCTGGGTTGGTTTTGTTGGAAGAAAAGGGAGTTGGGCAGAGCATCCATGGAGGCTTTCTCTTGCGAGCTCCAAAGAAGTCGTTAGCAGAAAAGTAGCTGAAAATACGCTTTTTGGGCAGTGGAAAATAAGATTTGGAGTGTCCCTGAGAGCATGTAGGAGGATTTTTGAAGCCCTATTTTTTGCCCATAAAGTGTCTGAGGTGTTTTTAGTGGGACAGTGATGTTATGGAAGCAGAGTTTTTTTTACAGAACTCAACACTGTGTCAGGATGTATTTCCGGGGACTGCCACGTAGAGGCTGTGATCTATTTATCACTTAGTAACTGGATTCAGTTGGGAACAGTTAAAGGGAGATTGGGTGGAATCAAACAGGAATCCAAATAATTTTATGAAAGAAACAGTCAAATTTAAGAGTCAGATTGAATATGGGAATATTAATTGCGTGTGGCTGCCATAACAGATTGCAACAAATTGGATGGCTTTGAACAACAGGAATTATAGTTCTTGAATCCAGAAGTCAGAATCTGTGTGGCAGGCCATGCTTCCCCAGCAGGCTCTAGGGGAAACTCCTTCCTCGGCTCTTCTAGCTTCTGTAGTTCAGGGAGTCCTTGGCTAAAGGCAGCATAACTCCACCCTACCTCTGTCTTCATATGGCCCTTTCTTTGCTGTGTGCCTCTGTGTCTCAAACCTTCCACTTTCCTCTTGTAAGGATTTCCCAGCAAGGTCACATGCACAGGGACCAAGGGATAGCACTCTGCGAAAACTTCTAGAGTTCCACAGTTCAGCCCCTACAATGGGGATTCAAGGAGACGGACAACAGAAACATAATGTTAGTGATCATCCCAGTGAAACACCACAAGCAAGTTGAGAAGGAGAACCAGCTTGAGTGAGGGCATGGCATAGCCCTAAACAATGGTTTGAAGCCATCATGAAAACTTCAGGTGAAGATGAAAGTAGATAAATTGCTTGAGGCAGAGGACTTTTCTAAGTGTAGGAATTAGGCAAATAAGTAGGTTCAAAAACCTGATGCCAGGAAAGCTTAGTTAAATTGACCAGGAATAGAATTAAATAGTTTTTCTCAGCTGTCTCCAAATGTAACATGCAAATGCATTAGACATTCTATATGTCACTCTGACCATATATTTTTTACCATTTATAGATTTCAGCATCCTTTGGCTGCGAGGAGAAAATGGCTCAGGGCCTGCTAAGTTCAATATACCTCACAGTGTTACAGTTGATTCGACTGGCCGGGTAAAAATACAGTGTATCTAGATTGTGTGTCCGAATGTGTGTGTGTGAGTCTAGGTGTGTTGGGGCTGAGGGACATGTGTATCTGGATGATGGTTTACACATATATATTTGAGCTTATATAGATAGATCATGAGGTACATTAGTAGGTATGTCTGGGCAGTTCCTGTGGGGCTGGGAATGTGCACATGCTCTCTTACAGATGTTTCAGTCTTGTAGTGAAGAGGTTTCCTAAATATGCAGAAATGAGCAAAATAGATATCCTGTATCTCTAAAGAACCAAAGGAACAAATAATGGATTCAGACATGAAGTCACCTGGAAAAATAACAGCTTTCCCTACTACTGGAAAAACTGTGTTCAAATACAATTTCAGTTCTCAACAACAACAAAAATTGTCTTGGTCAAAAGGAAGGTGAGAGAGGTTAATTTTGGAAGCTTGAAAAAGACAGCCTCGTAAGCCGACTCATTCTCATCACTAGCTCCACTCTGGGGAGCAGAAATCTTTAACCAACAAATTTCAGTCAATTTCTGTCTTTTCTACTATTACCTCTTTGCTTTTAATCACCTTCTCAGCATAGATATCACTTCTATCTTCCCCAAATCAAGCACCCACAAAAATTGTTTATATCAGTTTCTCCTTGTTTTTCTTCAGTGGTCTGCATTTCTCCCTTATGTAACTATCATGTTATGTTATAATAATTTAATTGTCCATCTCCCTTAATAGTGTGTAGGCTGTATGAACTCAAGAACTGATTCTCTTTCATTTTATGTCTTAGTGCCTAACACCCAGTAGTCATAAGCATTCATTAATTGACTGAATGTCTTGATGCACAATGGGTACTTGCCTTAATGCCAGTAGACATTTTGATACTTTTCTACTTCTGATTCTCAGCAAGCAACATTCTAATTTGATTGGGCTTCCTTTGTTGACAGTGTTTTGATCACTAAATCCGTTGCATCTTCCTCTCTACTATAGCAAGTTAACTGACCATGTGAAGTTTGTGTGTGAATTGGAAACTAGAAACTTAGCATGCAGACTTAACACCTTACCTTATGGAGCTTGGTTAATTACTACTACTTGGAGTCAAGAAAAAAGGTCAAATTTCATAGCTGGCAAGACCTAGACACAGATTTGTAAGCAGTGGTGAGGATTGGCTTTCTAAGAGGTTTTAGAGAACATTTGATGAGAGTTCACAGACATTACTGAGTGAGTAAGAATGAGTATGTTAATTTCTATATGTTTGTGCTTTCATAAGAACAGCACTGTCTGTGCATTTTATATGATTAACTCCTTCAGTCATCATGACAGCCCTATGTGAAAAGTTCATTCATTCAAGAGTTAAAGACTTCTTGTCCCTTAAACAAGATTTCCCATAATCAAAACCCATTGCGTGTTGACTAGAAAAGACAGTGTTAAGCATCGCCATTCATTCTTGGTGTATAAACTGTTTTTTTCTCATTGGTCATTTTTCTGAGACAGCAACCCTAAAATCTTCAAGGAAACTCACCCTTAGTAAAGAATCATACATCAGGAGGAGACCTTGAGAAACTACGTTAAGTAATCATCCATAACATTTCTCAAACAGTATAATGAGTCTTTATTAGTTTCTTATTGGAGAGGAATTCAGTGGCTGCTAACATTCGCAAGCCCTGGCAAAGATGTACATAGGGTTACCCTGAAGAAATAGCCTTTGGTTCCAGAAACTCAGCAAATCCTACAGGCCTGAAGACGAGGGTGAGAGGCATCGGAGTGAGAGCCCTCCTCTCCAGTAAGCTCATTCTTTCCTACCTCTACAACTCAGGCCATCATCATCAAAAAACATTTCATTTTGTTTATGTCATAGGTTGCATACAGACAGTACATGAAATGTCATTTATATGACTCATTTTGGCCTATTAACAAGCCTGAAGTAAACCTATCAGGGCTGGCACCGTGGTGCAGTGGTTTATCTTGTGAAGCTGACATCCCGTATTGAATACCAGTTTGAGTCCTGGCTTCCCTGCTTGCAGTATGGCTTCCTGCTAATCTGCCTCGGAAGGCAGGAGAACATGCCCGTCTACTTTGGCCCCTGTCAACCATGTGGGAGACCAGGGTGGAGTTGCTGAGTCCTTGGCTTCAGCCTGGTCCACACCTGGCTACTGGGGCCATTTGGAGAATGAAACAGCAGATGCACGATCTCTTTATCTTTCTCTCTGTCACTCTGCCTTTCATATAAATAAATAAACCTTTAAACTTATTTACCCTACTTTAGGTGTTTTTAACTAGCCCAGCTTTCCTCCCTAAGTGATTCAGCACTTTGAACACGCCATGGTAATGGCAGGTATAAGTTTACTGAGATTGCAGTGTGAATGAATGCCTCACTTCCCCCACTCTCCTGAACTCCTGAGGATGAACATTGCTAGTCTTTATTTTGTTGCCTGGCCCAACGATGGAGGTGGATAGGACTCAACAGCACCGTGCTCAGTGAAAGGGAATGCTTGTTACTGGAATAAATACCTACCGATCCTCTGCATTCTGGTGGAGTATTCCTGTTTGTTAGTTGCTCACACATTAACATACACATGTAGTATATTGCAGGCTTTTGGTTAAGACAGATGGCCATTTATATTGTAGCTGTCCCACTTGAGTGCATTTCAGATGTGGCATTTAACCTTTCTGAACTTTAGTGTTTCCTCATCTGAGACAGGGGCCTTTAATATCTTCTTCCTTGCGATCCTCTAAGTTCTACATGAGATTATGTGTGTTCATTTTAGAAAAATCTAATGTGTACGAACTGGCCACCTAAAGTGGAAGGTTTGGGAAACCAAAGAAACAGAAAATCCACAATGACAGAGACTAATTTATAAGTGGACTCCTGGACAGAAGTATGGTTTTTGGCAGCCTCAAGACATACGGGGCTCCATGTCAAGGCAATGAAGAGAGGATTTAATAGACAAAGTTGGCCCATTGCTAATCTAAGTATATCTGAACTTTCTCAAGAAATACCATTCTAAGCATTAGATAAGGGGCATTCCAGGGTCCTACCTGGCAAGACAAGCCTGACCACTTACCTGTTGACCTGATTTACCCCAGTAGGGCTCCAGTGACTTCCAGGGTTGCCTAAAGGGCAAGATGGCCGTTGTGACCAAAATGGCTGCACCATGTCAAGTTGAATCCCTCCCAGTGTGAAAACACAGACTCATTCGCTGCCTTTCATTTTTCTTTCCTTTCATATTCTGGATCTTTTCCAGTTGATCCTTTGTTTTGTTTTGTTTTGTTTCTTAGGTATGGGTTGCTGACCGAGGAAATAAAAGAATCCAAGTGTTTGACAAAGAGACTGGGGAGTTGCTAGGAACATGGGATAATTGTTTCGTACAAGAGGGCCCTTCTGCAGTCAGGTATTGTTTCTTTGCATTTTGAAATGATGTTTTAGTCCATTTGTGTTACTTCCTCTGAAGAGCCAGCTGGTATTTTAAAATAGTTATTGGTCATTTTAAGCAGAGGAAAGTGGAAGAATACAAGAGAAATTTGCTACCTGATGTTTTTCAATACCAGATAAAGTGAAAACAACTAAACTTCCAGTGTTCTATAGAATTCTAGTGTCAGAAAAAAAAAAAAATGTATGCTAGTCCTCTCCTACAGTCTTTATCCTTGAGATATATTTGCTAAATTTTTAAACACATCAAAATCAGCCTGAGTCTGTAGTATCAGATACAGCCTAATACAACTTGTCCATTAGTTTTATTGTGTGTAGTATTATGATGTTGTTATTTTTTAAAGATTGAAACTAATCTTTGGCCATTTCTACCACCAGTCACTTACTCCCTCATAAACAGATTTAGATCAAACTTAAATTCTTAAATCATTCCGCAAGTAGGTGCCTCCTGTTATTTAGCACTGTAGGGAATAAGAATGTTGATTGATGTTTATTTTGTATGAATTTATTATGTAAAACTTCTTTCTCCATAGATTTACACCTGATGAAAAATACTTGATTGTGGCCCAGCTGAATCTTAGTAGGCTCTCAGTTGTGGCAGCACCCCCAGTGGGAGACATTGGCATGTGTTCTGTGATCAGCACAATCCAACTGGCAGATCAAGTTTTACCACATCTCCTAGAAGTTGATAGAAAGACTGGAGCAATCTATGTAGCAGAAATTGGAGCAAAACAAGTACAAAAGTATGTGCCTTGGAGTGGCTATGTCCTTTGATTTGGATCATAATTTTTTGTTTTTACTGTGGATCTTTCTTAGATTCTTAAATTTTATTAAGTGCTTACAAATGATATTCAAGCACAAGAATTTGTTTACATTTTCCTGATCTAGTATCAGATTTGTTTTTAATGTTATTAACAATCATGTTTTTATTGCCTTTCTTGGGACTTAGTCTTACTTCTAAGTGCATGAGGTTATTTAAAGGAAGAATTGTGGGAAGGTGTTTAGCCTAGGAGTTAGGACATCAGAGTATGTGGATTCAATCCTGGCTCCAGCTTCTGAATTAAGCTTCCTGCCATTGCAGAACCTGGGAGCCACAAGTGATGATTCAAGTAAGTAGGTTCCTGCTACTCATAGGAAACCTTGATTTCATTCCTGGTTCCTTGCTTTGTCCCCAGACCCAGACCAGCCCTGACTGTGCAGGTGTTGGAGAACTGAACCCATACAGTGGGAACTCTCTCTTATCTGTTTCTCTTCTTGTTCTGCTGCCATTTATCCATGTCTGTCTCTGCTTTCTTTGTCTCTTTGCCTGTCCAATAAGGGTGTAACTTAAAAGAATGAGGTCATAAAGAAGGACTACGATTATAAGCTAGTTATTTGGTCTGGTGAATGAATTCTCCCAGGTAAAACAGTAGGAACTAAAGTGGGTTCACAAGATAATTTATTGAATGTCATGGAAACACCTGCTGATGTCCAGTTTGTTCAGCTTCCATAAAATGAACTCACTGAGAGAAAGTATTTTGGGCTGTTAATTATTTTGAGTATCCACAGAGTACTAGGTCCTGAAGATTCAAAGATGGAGAAGCAAATTTTGTGCTGTTTGAGTTGCCTACAGTGCACTGAGGAGACAAGCGGACAGTCACAGCATAGTGACAGCAACACAGGAGTGCAGTGGCACTTTCCAGAAGAGGAGCACTGCATTTGACCAAGGGACTCATGAAGACTTTACAGGACAAGTCTGAAGTTGGACTTGAAAATTAAGGAGGAGTTTTTAGTGGACCAGGAGGAAAAAATTGCTTCCAAGTAGAGAAGGTATGAAGGCTCTCAACTTGTGAGAATGAGCCATGCTTTTAGCCTTTGTTTTGAAGCCTTGCCTGGCTTTTTTGTTTTTAAAGATTTATTTATTTATTTGGAAGTCATAGTTACAGAGGGGGTGGGGGGATGGAGAGAGAGAGAGAGAGAGAGAGAATCTTCGATCCACTGGTCTACTTCTGAAATGGCCACAGTGACTGGATCTGAGCCAGGCCAAAGCCAGGAGCCAGGAGCTTCTTCAAGATCTCCCAGTTTGGTGCAGGGGCCCGAGCACTTGGGCTATCTTCCACTGCTTTCCCAGGCACATCAGCAGGGAGCCGGATTGGAAGTAGAACAGCTGGGACTAGAACCAGCACCCACATGGGATGCTGGCATTACAGGCAGTGGCTCAACCTGCTACTCCACAATGCTGACCAGCCCCCCTTGGCTTAACAGAAACCTTTAAAATGCGAGGATGAAGTGACTTGTGCCATATGCCTAAGCACTTTACTGGGAGTTCTTAAACATAACCAGAATGGTTTTTAAAGGTAGCAGTAAAAACAGGGCCTCTCCTAAGTGCTTCTTCCAACTTTAGTTTATTCCTGACATGTGTGTACCTTAGTGAAGTTTCAGGAGAGTTGCTTGTATGGGGATGTGCCAAACTCTTTGAACTATTGTGACTAAATATTTTCTGACTGTTTCTACATTTTTCTCCTCTTGGTCTGAAGATTGGCTTCCCAATTAAGACCCTGTTTTTCCAGTTGTTCTAGTTTGTTCTTGATTTTGGTGGAACCTTGCTATATAGCAGTCTCTCATATCAGTCTTTCCCCTTGCTCTACTGTAAATTGTGTAGCAGTTGAGAAATCTTGAGCTAACTTTGCTCATCACCTATGGTGCCTGGAGTCTGCTTTCCAAACCGGAAAGAAGTTGTATGTTAATGCTTGGCCCATATATCAGTGTGGTTAGGGAGGGAAATCTATCCACAGGAAACCCTATTCCTGTGTTCCTGAAAGGAATGTGCCACAGTGGGCTAAGTTTTTTTCCAGTAGCATGGGTACATTGTGTTGTAAGGGTCAGATCTGCAATAGGTACATATGTGCCCTTTGAATCCCTGCTCCAGGTATATTACAGGACTTTTATTAATAAAAAGTTCCTCTCAGTATGTTGTTTACCTGACACAAGGACCAGGTTGGCCTTAATTTTATGTTTATGGCTTTTTATAAAACACTTCACTTATGTACTTTATGCAGTTAAGATAAAAAAAATAATTTGAGAGTTTATTTGTTGGCAAGCTAGGATAAGAAATGCAAGTGCCTCTGTGAAGGAATGTAGGCTAGACTGATTTTTTCATTTAACAAATGTTTTATTTAATTTTGTTTTATACCAGATTTCTATAAAGCTTTCTGAAAATATTGTTTCTGTGTAACTTACGTGAAGTATTTATTTCACAGCATGCTTGTAATCATAGTATTTTTTTCCTTTGGATTAATTGGTTAAATGAATGGAAAATATACTTTGTATTTAAAAAAATAGATTAAAATTCTGGAATGAAAAGTCAATGTTATCCAATTCTCCAATTAAAGATTAATTTTATTGTTATAAAAACAGTTTGTAACTCCTTATTCCATTAAAGAATTTCAGCAATACTGGAATCACATTTGGTGCTAAGAAAATATCCCCCTCTGCGTACATCTGTGAAGTGTAAGCTGTTGTTCAATATTGCTGGACATTGCTTGGACAGTTTAAACAGTGTGGCTGCCTTTGTGGTGGTGGATAGGTATACATGACAGTATTAGTAGCTAATTGTGGTTAAGCATTAGAAGTAGAACCTCTTAATGCCTCTGCTTTCTAAGTCTGTTCTTGGGGTAGAAGAAGGGAGTATTTCAAAGGTAACTATAGGTATCTATGCTCACCTGCACTATAAGATTAAGTCCGTAAAACAAAATTTTGTTGATCATAGAAAACTTGGATACTTTCTGAGTAAACAAAGAGGATCCATATAATTTGTGCTGGGGTCACTTGACAGGTAAATGAATGCTATGATTTGAGTCGCAGCTCCACTCCCTATATCAGCTTCCTGCTAATGTGACATCCTGGGGGGCAGAATATGGCTCAAGTAATTGAGTCCATGCCACCCACATGGGAAAGTCCCCAGCTCCTGATTTTGGCCAGGCTCAGCCTAGGCTGTTGTAGTTATTTGGGAAGTTAGCTAGTGGATGGAAAATCTCTGCTCTGCTTTTCAAATAAATAACAAATAAAATAAAAGCTGTAAGGCTTATAGGGTAACATTCTAACTTTTGTTTTGGCTTTACTGGTTTTAAATGTTTTTGAATTTGAAAGCAAGATAACTTGGAAAGCTAGCATCAACGCTGGAACTTTTAGGGCTGATGTTGTGGAACAACAGTTTAAGAGGCTACTCAATGCCAGCATCCCATATGGGCATCCGTTTGAGTCCTGGCCACCCTACTTCCCTACTTCCAATCCAGGTCTCTGCTAATGGGTCAGGGAAAGCAACAGAGGATTGCCTGAGTACTGGCCCTTCCCACCCATATGGGAGATCTGGAAGAAGCTCCTAGCTTCTACATTTGGCCTGGCCCAGCCCTGGCCATTGTGGCCATTTAGGGGATGAACCACGGATGGGTGATCTCTTTCCTTCTGTTCCTCTCTCTTAACTCACCAAAATATATATCATATCATAAAAATAAAGCCATGTCCTATATTTATATAGCTTTGTTTAATTCTCTGCTATATATTTTCAGCAATAATAACATTTTAAAAACTTTTTTGAAAGAATAAATAAGGTTAATTTCATTCAACAAAAGGCTGTGAGACCACAGAATTGTGAAGGTGTGTGCTCAAGCGTTTCTCTGCCGTGGAGGTGTGCTGCCTAGTGGAGACAGCCTGCTGAGATCACTGCCTCGCAGTACTTTAGGGAGATGCTGTGCGGTTATGGAGCTTCCATTGTGTTACATTCTTGGGACAACAGAGGGCAGTAGAGCGCTGCTTGTGATAAGCATTTCTTGAAATCAAAAGGACAAATGACCTGTATACTTGGATTTTTTTTTTAATTGAAACTACATTATTAATCAGACTTCTTTCTGCTTTTTCTGGAGTTTGCTTATGTCTTAAGGAAACTGACTTATAGATGATGTATTTTCCAAGTGGTTTTGGACATGTTTACTACTTGATTGAACTTTTCTACATTTTAAAAGAAAAGTTTAAACTTTTTCAGTAATCCAAACTATAAGCAGAAGTGAATAACTCATTTCAAACGGAGGTGGAACTATATTCTGAATATTTGAGTTTTGTGCAATAAAAAACATTCATGTTGCAGGAATTATTCTTTTCTTCCTCATTAGTTTTTTTGTTTGTTTGTTTGTTTTTCTTTTTAAGGTTAAGATTGTTTGAAGGGCATATTTATATATAGAGAGAGACAGAGAACTCCCATCTGCTGGCTCACTCCTCAAATGGCCACAATGGCCAGGGATGTGCCAGGGTGAAGCCAAGAGCCCAGAGCTGCTTCTAGGTCTCCCCAATAGATTCAGGGCCCCAGGCACTAGGGCCATCTTTTACTGCTTTCCCAGGTGCATTAGCAGGGAGCTGGATCAGAAGTGGAGCAGCTGAGTCTTGAACCAGTACCCATGTAGGATGCCAGCATTGCAGGTTGAAGCTTAACCCACTGTGTCACAATGCTGGCCCCTTTTTCTCATTTTTAAGCAGTTTTGCCTTGTGGCTATTGATTATTTTATGGATAAGGAAAATAGACTATTTATAAAGTCATTTCTCCACCAGGCATTTATCCATAGAGGCTGTGCATTTATATAGTAGAATGACTCTAAATACTTAATGACAGGCCAGCGCCGTGGCTCATTTGGTTAATCCTGTGCCTGTGGCACCAGCATCCCATGTGAGTGCTGGGTTCTAGTCCCAGTTGCTCCTCTTCCAGTCCAGCTCTCTGCTGTGGCCTGGGAAGACAGTGGAAGATGGCCCAAGTGCTTGGGTGCCTGCACCTGCATGGGAGACCAGGAGGAAGTACCTGGCTCCTGGCTTTGGATTGGCGCAGTGCCAGCCGTGGTGGCCATTTGGGGAGTGAACTAAGGGAAAGAAGACCTTTCTCTCTGTCTCTCTCTCTCACTGTCTGACTCCATCAAATAAAAAAAAAAAATACTTAATGACATGCAGGTACTACTTTTTGTATGTAAGAAATGAATACAATTTGAGCAATGAGAAACAATTCTGAAAACCTTTATCTCTTACATTGTAACCAATGAGATAGTGTTATGATTTAATTCTATTAAGATTTAATTGAATTGTGATTTAAATACATTTAAATATATTACATTTAATTTAAATACATTGTAATGTATGAAACAAGCATGTCCTAATTAACTTGAGTCTTTCGAATAAATTCTTTTTTTTTTTTTTTAGATTTACTTTATTTATTTGAAAGACAGAGTTACAGAGAGAGGTAGAGACAGAGAGAAAGGTCTTCCATTTGCAGGTTCATTCCCCAGATGTCTGCAACAGTTGGAGCTGCACCAATTCAAAGCCGGGAGCCAGAAGCTTCTTCCAGGTCTCCCACGTGGGTACAGGGGCCCAAGGATTTGGGCCATCTTCCGCTGCTTCCCCAGGCCATAGCAGAGAGCTGGATCAGAAAAGGAGCAGCCGGGACTAGAACCAGCGTGTATATGGGATACCGGTGCTTTAGGCCAGGGCTTTAACCTGCTGTGCCACAGTGCTGGCTCCTCGAATAAATTCTTTAGATAGGTAAATTAATTTGAAGGTGTCACAAGTTGCTTTCATAATATTCTCAGTTTTCAGTATAATTCCCAAGAAAGAAAACTTTAGAAACATGGCCCAGATTCTCAGGTCTGTACATACCAGAATTGGTTACTATAATTCTTCTGATATATTTTTACTGTAAGGCATTTATATACAGATTGTCACAGTTACCAAAGTTAATCATTTTTATAATACTCTTCTTCACAGGGTATGAAAAACATTTTAAATATTTTTATATTTACTGTATTTAACTAAAATATTCATTTTTGCATGAGTGCTTAGAACTAATTATATTCTTATACTTTTAATCTACATTAACTTTTTGAAATTTATCCAGTTTTTACTTTGTAGGCTACATGTACATGTGTATGCCAGTGCATGTACATTTCTGTAAGTATAGATATACACATCAAGAACATTATGCCCAAAATAAGTCAGAACAGCTGGATCCTAACAGTTTATACTTAACATGGCTAAGTATAAGTCCTTTATATATATGTATATTATGTATATAAACATGTATATGTGTGTATGCATATATATATGTATGTATGTATGTATATTCAAAAGTTCATGGAAAGGTCTTCCTTCCATTGGTTCACTCCCCAAATGGCCGCTACGGCCAACACTGTGCTAATCCGAAGCCAGAAGCCAGGTGCTTCCTCCTGGTCTCCCATGCGGGTGCAGGGCCCAAGCACTTGGGCCATTCTCCACTGCCTTCTCAGGCCACAGCAGAGAGCTGGACTGAGACTTGTGCTGAGCTGCTTGGTATCATTTATTTCTCACTTGTGAAATGAAAATAATAGTATTTTCCTCATGAGATTATTATGAATACAAATGTGATCATGTATGCAAAGTACTAAGACTAGTCCATGAGACACAGTACACATCAAAAATGTGAAGAGATTCATTCATTTGCGATGTTTAAGGCAGACACGAGCAGACATGCCACGTTTGGAGCAGTGTCATGGATTGGTTGAATGTGAAACCAGATGACCTTTCCTTCTCCTATAATTCTGTGTTTAGTTATATTGTTGAATATTAATGTCCCTTATTTTTTAATAAGCTTTTCAAAATTGTAGATCCTGTGCCTTTCTTTAACAAATTTAGATTCCTATGTTAAATTCGTCCCATGAATTTATTAGTTATTTCTCCTGGAGTAGGACTTTGTTTTTTTTCCATATCTAATTAATTGGTGGTGGTACAGGGTAATGGTATCAATTCTTTCCATGTAGAGTGTATCTGTTTACCTCAAAAGACTAGACTTAATGGAAATAAACTTTATTTAATTAGCTACAGATTACAGATTATTATTAAAGATATTTATAGTTTCTGGGTATATAAGCATGAAAATAAAAATTTGCATCTTTTAGTAGTGTTTGTAGTGTTTTATTTTAAAATTTTTATTATAGTGGCTACACTATTCAGAACAATGTTGAATATTGGGATGGGGATATCCTTAGCTTCTGATCTGAATGGTGATGTCAGTACTTCATCAATTACTAATGAAGTTTACTGTTTAGTTTTGATAATTTTCATACTTGTATTTTTATCATAGAATTTTATTAAGAAGAATCACTTAATTTGTTAAATTGACCTTGACACTGATATATATGATATGTTGTTGTAATTTATGTTAGAGGTTTTTTTCCTTGGGTTTATTATTGGAAAAAACCTTACTTGGCCATAATATCATGCTTATACCTTGTATTCTTTAAATGAAGAGGGCAGTAGAGGTCTATTCATACACAATTTAGTATGTTACAGCCATTTCCAAAAGGAATTTGAGTTTTCTTACAATAAAATATATAGAGTACTTAAATGAAAAATAGTAATGTCAAAAATTATATGATTGGTAGAGAAAATACATTATTTCAAAACTTGAAGTAATTACAAGTTATGCATTAAATTATTCCTTAGTCTTATTATTGCCATAGCAAACAAGGAAGTATATATATATAATTCTTACTTTATCAAAGGAAATTCTTTTAGAAAGCACTGTCCTATATAAGTGACAAGGCTCATATTCTGTATCTTTCCGTATCTCAGCTGTTCAATAAACTAGCCTGTAGCTCAGGTAGTTTTTGAGTGTTTGAAACATACATTGTATATCTGAGGAACTGAGTTTCTTACCATATTTTTAATTTAAGTAGTTAAAATTGACTACTGGCTATGTATCAGCATAGAAAGTGAATCTAGGGTTTCATAACGAAAACCAATTTGTTTTCACCCAACTTCCTTGCATAATTTTCTTTCTGTCAACCTTTTAAGGTCATGGATATTCCAGATTCACTTTCCTGGAGTTGTAGCTATTTAGTTTTTAGGTTTTCACCATGTGACTCTCACCACATGTGAGCCCATTGGGATGGCCACAGAGAGGAAAAACCAAGAACCTTCTCAAAATAATCTTTGGGTGTGAACCAAAATAAGTTTTTGAATTACCGTGACTGTGTATAAAACAACATGCTTCTTTACCTATTGAGTTCCTGCTGAGCAAATTTTAAGAATGTTTTAAGAGAATGTGATTATCTGATAGCTACTTTGCCTCTACACAGAGTTCTAATTCCTGGTTAACACTCCAGAATGCTGCTACAGAAACATGTTACTGAACAAATTGAGCTTCCTCCAGGCCTCCCTCACAGGTGCAGGGGTCCAAGCACTTGGGCCGTCTTCCGCTGCTTTCCTAGGCCATACATAGCAGAAAGCTGGATTGGAAGAAGAGCAGCCAGGACATGAGCCAGCACCCGTATGGGACACAAGTGCCACAGGCTCCCACAGATTACTTTTTTAAAGTTATATTTTTAATTTTGGGTTAAATTAATATACATTTTTATGGATTTCAGCACAGTGTTTCAGCACATACACACATACACACACACACACATATATATACATATACAGCATAAACTGAACATACAAGCCAATTAGTCTTTCAATTTCTTTTTCTTTGTGTTTGGAGCATACTAGCTCCTCTCTGCCAATTTTTTACCTGAAATAAAATACATAATCATGAACTGTGGTCACCTTTCTGTGCTTTGGAGCACCAGAACCCATTACCTTCTCTTGACAGCATTTCTCCTCCCATCCGCCTACCTTATCCTTCCTAGCCTCTAGTAATCACTATTTTAAATTCAGATGAAATATATATTCCTCTTTTCCAATTTGGATGCCTTCTTTTTCCCCCTTTTTCTTGTCTAACTACAAGTATTATGTTCCATGTTGAATAGTAGACACTGAAGGTTTTGAGGACTAACATACCATACCTTTCATTAGGTACAGTATCTAAGGTAGTATATATATTTCTCATCTAGTGCTGAGCAGTGCTGGGTAGAGGCAAGGGACAAAATATTAGAACAGTGAAAAGGAAACATTAGAACATGGAATATCACATGGGTTTCAATATGAGTTCCATATAGAGTGATAAGTGAGATTTGGACTTTTGAGAAACAGCATGAAGCGGAGCAGAAGTCTTGAAGGTGTCTCCTGTTTCACCTGATCCCCTGCAGTTTTCAGGGAAACCATTTAAGAGGCAGAAGTTAGTGCAAAAACTGGAGCAGATCCCAAGTCTATTGCTTCACAGCGTCCTTTCTGCTCAGCTGCTCAGCTGGTCTGTCTTCCTTTCTACCTTATTGAGCGACACAATGCCTGGTTTTTTGTTTTTTAAGATTTATTTATTTATTTGAAAGAGTTACACAGAGAGAGGGGCGGGGGGTCTTCCATCTGATGGTTCACTCCCCAATTGACTGCAGCGGCTGGAGCTGTGCCGATCCGAAACCAGGATCCAGGAGCTTCTTCCAGGTCTCCCACATGGATGCAGGGGCCCAAGCACTTGGGCATCTTCTACTGCTTTCCCAAGCCATAGCAGAGAGCTGGATGGGACGAGGAGCAGCCGGGACTCGAACTGGCGCCCATATGGGATGCCGGCACTGCAGGCCAGGACATTAACCCGCTGCGTCACAGTACCGGCCCTGACACAATACCTTGTTAAAATATTATGTACACTGATTGTAATCCATGAATGATTTATCATAAATATCACATTCCTTCCTGTGCTAGACAATCTTTTCCAGAAAGTGGAACTAATATTTAGATTTCATTATCCTTAATTTGAAGAGTTGCATGTTTTACTATGTACTAATACTTTTTATATTTTGAAATACACCTAAAGAAAATTATGAAAGAAGGCTACCTTGAGTTGTAGAAAAACAAAACTACAGTAAAAATGAGACTTGAACTAATATAAAGAAAAGACAAATGAAATGAAATTTATTTATTTATTTTGTTGACAGGCAGAGTGAACAGTGAGAGAGAGACAGAGAAAAAGGTCTTCCTTTTCCGTTGGTTCACCCCACAATGGCTGCTGCAGCCGGCGCGCTGCGCTGATCCGAAGCCAGGAGCCAGGTGCTTCTCCTGGTCTCCCATGCGGGTGCAGAGCCCAAGGACTTGGGCCACCCTCCACTGCCTTCCCAGGCCACAGCAGAGAGCTGGACTGGAAGAGGGGCAACCAGGACAGAATCCGGCGCCCTGACCGGGACTAGAACCTGGTGTGCTGGCGCTGCAGGCAGAGGATTAGCCTATTGAGCTGTGGTGCCGGCCTGAAATGAAGTATTATCATCAAGTAACTATTTTGAATGTTCAAGTAGGAAAATACAAGACATATTGTGACTAAAACCGGCATTAACGAAACTGATACAAATGAAACCACAATACTAATTAGGACACTAATTAGGATGTGGTAAAACAATATTCTTATAATGTTAATGTAAATTAATACTATTGATTTAGTAGTGTGTTAAAAGAAGCAAACATTTAGTGTCTGTGTGGTAATAATTGTATATCTATAAAATGATATACTTTAAAAAATTAAAAATAAACACAAGTTGAATGTTTCTTATCTGGGGACCAGAAGTGTTTCAAATTTTGGAGCATTTATGGATTTTGAGATATTTACATAGACTTTACCAATTGGACATCCCTAACTTGAAAATCTGAAATGCTCCAAAGTTTCAGATTTGGCATCATTTTGGATTTGGAATTTTTGGAGTAAGGATATTCAATGCTCACCCTGTAGTTGACATTTGCTGAATACTTACTACTTGGCAGGTACTTTACTGTGAACACAACATCTACTGTGGTTTTGAGGAAAGTAGCATTATTAGATTAGGAAGCCGTATGCAACAAAGATGAGAAATTTACCCCAGCAAGTAAACAACAGAGATGGGATTAAATGCCAGGTAGTCTGCACCAAGCACTATCTCTTCTCTCTCAGAGGGATGCACGCACACATTGACTCATATATATGCACAAATGTGTAAGTGCATTAAGGAATATTTATAACTGATTTTCATTGACTACATAGTAAAAATTTAGAAGACATAGTCTGGGGGCCAGCACTGTGCTGCTGTGGGTTAAGCTGCCACCCGTGACACTGGATTTCATATCATAGTACCTGTTCGAGTCCCAGTTGCTCCACTTCTGATCTAGCTCCCTATAATGCATCTGGGAAGGCAGCGGAAGATGGCCCAAGTAGTTGGACCCCTGCTACCCATGTGGGAGACCCTGGATTGAGTTCCTGGCTGTTGACTCTGTCCTGCCCCAGCCCTGGCCATTGCAGCCATTTGTGGAGTGAACCAGTGAACAGACAATCTCTTTCTCTGTCTCTCCTTCTCTCTGTCACTCTGCCTATCAAATAAATAAATATTTTAAAAAGTCACAGTGTTATAAGACAGCAATGAATAAAGTATAGTTTGCTTGTATTTGGCCACTATGTGGCCTTTAAAAGTGATAATTATGAAGCAAGTACAGCCATATGGGAGATGATCATGATATAACACGAAGTGAGAAAGACTTGGAGGAATGTAAGACTATAAGATCCATTATAGTTGTGTACCTGTGTATATAGTACTTCTTATGAACCACATACTGGTCTAAGGACTCTGGATTGTATTGTTTAATCCTTAAAGAAATCCTATAGGGCCTGGCACTGTGGCATAATGGATTAAGACTCCACCTGCAGCGCCAGCATCCCATGTGGGCACCGGTTCAAGTCCTGCCTGCTCCTCTTCCAATCCAGTTCTCTGCTATATCCTGGCAAAGCAGTGGAAGATGGCTCAAGTCGTTGGGCCCCTGTACCCATGTGGGAGACCCAATGGTAGCTCCTGGCTCCTGGCTTCGGATTGGCCTAGCTCTGGCCATTGAGGCCATTTGGAGAGTGAGCCAGCGGATGGAAGACCTCTCTCTGTCTCTCCCTGTCTCTGTAACTCTGTCTCTCAAATAAATAAAATATTTTAAAAATTAAATCCTGTAAGTATTATTACTATTCTCATTTGACATTTGAGGCAACTGAGCTACAGAGAGATGTAGGTCAAGATTTCACAGGAATAAATGAAGAGCAGTGTAACATTAGAGTCTGCATTTTGAACTAATCATCTTTGTATTTATAACATTATATTCCAGAAGAGATCAAAATGACAATACTGGTATTATGAGGCGGAATGAGGAGGAAGATGTATTTTCCTGTGTACTTGAAGGAATTCTGAACTCCTTGGCAGTCACACCCAGTAAAGGAAAGGGGGGGAATTATCCTGGAATGCAGCCCTCCCTGGCAAACTTCTTTGGGCCGCTTCCTTCCACTCCCCCTTCCCCATTTCTGTCTTTCTAAAACCACTGCTGTCTAGCACTGCCAAGCAATTTGGAGTAGAATTATCTTAAACGTGAGGATTCCACTGGTAAACATTCTAAAATTGATGATCAAGTTAGCAGTCTGATTTTTCAAGCCATGTGTCCTTGAAACACAATCTTCACGTCACTTCCAGGGTTCCACTTTCTCCTGGACTTGCATTTCCCTCAGTGATTCTTTCCTAATGTCTTTACTTCTGGTGGCTTCTGTCTACCTGACTTCCAAGTGCTGGAGTGCCTCAGGGCTCTGCGCTTGTCCCGCTCTCTATCTGCACTCATCCCGGTGCATCCAGTCCAGTGAAACTGATTACCATGCAAATGTTAATGACTCTCAAATTAACATCAGTGGTTCAAAGTGCTCATCTGTGCTATGAACTTGAATAGACAATTACCTCCTTGACATTTCCACTTGGAAATAGTTGTTTCAAACTTAATATGTCCAAAATAGATACTTGATCCCTTTCTCCGAATCTCAAATAGAATTGTACCACCATTTGTTTACCTGACTGCTCTTCTACCTACCTGGAACAGCCTTACTCCTTATCTGTTCTTGGATTAATCCATATATTTAAGTTCTGCTCAGATACAACCATTTCAAAGGCCAACAAAAGTTAGCAGCCACCAGCAACTGGAAGCGGAAATGAATTCTTTCCTAGGTTATCCAGGAGGTTGAGAGGGGACCTGCCTGGGCCTTGCTTTTGGCTCCATGATAACAACTTCAATGTTATGAAAGAGTAAATCCAGGTTGCCTTAAGTCACTAAATTTGAAGTAATGTGTTACAACAGCCATAGGAAACTACTATAGTTTTGGATCCTGGAAATTAGGTGCTACTGTGGCATACACCTGAACATGTGGCTTTGACATTGTGTAATAGGTAGAGTCTGGCAGACTTCTGAAGGGCATAAGAAAAAAGAAAGCTAGGTTGGTTGCCTTAACACTGTCGGTTGATGTACAGAAGTTAAAGGCGCTGCTGGTGAGGGCAAAATAGGAGATAAGAAGCATATTTTTGGAAAATGGAAACATGTTTTCAATATAGAGTGGAAACAAACACAAGAGTAAATCATAACAGAATAATGTCTTAAATTGATTAAAGAAGAAAAAGTCAACCTAGAATTCTATCTCCAGCAAATTTGTCTTTCATAAGTAACTGTAAATACAGACATCTCAAGCAAGCCAAGTGGAATATGAGGTTTAAAAAATCTTTTAAAATTCATAGAAGATGCATATTATGAGAAACCTATGCATGGATTTCCAAAAAAAATTTCACCATAGTAAACTTACCTTTTAAAATATCTTTTTCATTTATTTTTATTTGAGATGCAAAGAGATAGTGTGAAACATAGATAAATACAGAGCTTTCATCTGCTGGTTCACTCCCCAAAGGCCAGTAATGAGTGGACTGGGTCAGCTGAGAACCTAGTCCAGGTCTTCCACATGAGTGGCAGAGATCCTTCCACTGCTGCCTCCTAGGCAGATTGCTCCCACCCTGGGTCTGTGTTATCAGGAAGCTGGAATCAGAAGCAGAGCCAACACTCAAACCCAACCACTCTAATAATGGGTTCAGGTATCCTAACGATGTCTTAACCACTAGGCCAAAAACGCACCCTAAAATAAATTTATCTTTTAATTCCATTTCCATACAAACTTTTTGAAGAACCCTCATATTCACTGCCATCAAATTTGTACTATAAGATATATTAAATGAATATATTTGGGATGAAAAAAATGATACCAGTTGGAAAAAAGACCCAAAATGATAAATTTATGGTTGAAGATAAAAGACTTTTCTTTTAAAGATAAATAACTAATAAAAACTAGCAGTAATGGCTTGATTAGTAAAATGAATAACACTGATATATAATATAGAAGTAAAAAGAATGATGAAAATATCACAAATGATCAAATGTGGAAAATGAAAACATATAAGAATATGATAAGGGACATATCATTCAAAAGTATGCTGACAACTTGCAGTGGGTTATTGTCAATGATAGTTCTACCAATCAAAAACTGAAACAAGAACAGATAATAAACTGATAGAAGAAGACAAAGTGTATAGACATAGTATACAAATAGTCAATTCCAAAAGAAGCTGGAGAATAGATAAAGGGAACAAAGAACAAATAGGATAAATAAAAAGCATAATAAGACCAAAAGCCAGTCATATTAAATATTATGTTAAATGTAAATGATATGATTACTCCAATAAAATTCAGCAATGAGCATAGTGAATAATAAAAAAAAAAACAAACTATATACAGTATACAAGAAATGGCTTTATATATAAAGCAAGAGAGTTAAAAATGAAAGGGTGAAATAAGGTACACAATTATAACCAGCAGTTATAAAAAGCGAAAGTGGCTAAATTATTGTAAGTCTAAGTAGACTTCAGAAGAGAAAGTATGACTGTTCAAATGTCACTTTATAAAAAGAATACATCCAACACTGTGGATGAATCTCACACATGTGATGCTGAGCACAAGAAGGCAGAAATAAGAGTACATACTGTACTGATCTCATTTATATGGAATTCTAGAAAACGAAAGACTAATTTAAAGTGACAGAAGGCAGATCGATGTTTTTCTGAAGCTGTGATGCGTGTAGGAGGTTAACTGGATGGACATGACACAATTGCAGTCACATAATGGGAAATTATCTATTTTCATTTTGGTGGTAGTTTCATAGATATATACATCTATCAAAACTTATCAAGCTGCACACTTCAATGGGTGTATTATATTGAATGTAAATTAAACCTGAATAGATTTGACTCAAAAATAAAGCAGAAGATTGGAGAATGGAAACATAAACCAAATAGAAAATCGAAGAATGAAAACAACAACAAAAAAGAGAATTGTAGGTAGAGGAGTGATTAGTGAGAAAGCTGTTGCTCAACCTTGACTTACAAGAGAAGGTTAAGAGGGTGATAAGAGGAAGTGATTGTTTGAATGGTATAAAGTGTGCTAGAAAACACCAGTGAATTCATTGCAACTAAAGTCAGAGAAAAAGGATATTGAATGTGTCATGTGTTCTCAGTGTCCTTGCTTTATTTGGCCACAGTTTGCAGCCCAGAGAAAGCAGGCAGTAGGAGTTACTAAGGATGAGGAAATGTAGAAGTGCATATGGCTAGTAAGAAATATATAGTGTTGGGCTGGTGTTGTGGCACAGTGGGTAAAGTCACTGCCTACAGTGCCGGCATCCTATATGGGCGCCGATTCCAGTCCCTACTGCTTCCTCTAATGCACCTAGGAAAGCAGCAGAAAATGGCCCAGGTGCTTGGGTCCCTGCACCCACATGGGAGACCTGGAAAAAGCTCCTGGCTGCTGACCTCAGATTGGCCCAGCCTCAGCCATTGTGGCCACTGGAGAGTGAACCAGTGGATGGAAGATCTCTCTCCTTGTCTCTCTGTCTGTAACTCTATCTTTCAAATAAACGAATAAATCTTAAAACATTAGAAATGTCTAGTGTTAATAAAATCCAAGTGGATACAATCTAGTAGTTTAAATAGAAAGCTTAAAGGGTGAGGAGGGATAGTAGGGTAGATCTAGGCTACAGCAAAGAAGAAGAGAAGTGTATATTACAGATAGAGAAAGGCAATACACAAGAATGATTTTGACTAAGAAAAATTACTTTCTATGCCCAGTTGCTATATTATGCAACATTAGTCAACCAAATTAGTATAGTAATAGCTGGCAGCTAAAACTAAAAATATAAAATACTTTTATTAAGCACACACTTAGAAGATTCCTCTCCTTTTTGAAGGGAATGATCACAATAGACATCAACCCTAACAACTTGTAGTTCTAGCTGTATTTAGCATCCTCCTTAATTTATGGATTTTTTTAACTTTTATTTAATGAATATAAATTTCCAAAGTACAGAATATGGATTACAATGGCTTCCCCCCCATAACGTCCCTCCAACCCGCAACCCTCCCCTTATCCACTCCCTCTCCCCTTCCATTCACATCAAGATTCATTTTCGATTCTCTTTATATACAGAAGATCAGTTTAGCATACATTAAGTAAAGATTTCAACAGTTTGCTCCCACACAGAAACATAAAGTGAAAAATACTGTTTGAGTACTAGTTATACCATTAAATCTCAATGTACAGCACAATAAGGACAAAGATCCTACATGAGGAGTAAGGGCACAGTGACTCCTGTTGTTGACTTAACAAATTGACACTCTTGTTTATGGCATCAGTAATCACCCTAGGCTCTTGTCATGAGTTGCCAAGGCTATGGAAGCCCCCTGAGTTCACTGACTCTGATAATTTTTAGACAAGGCCATGGTCAAAGTGGAAGTTCTCTCCTCCCTTCAGAGAAAGGTACCTCCTTCTTTGATGACCCATTCTTTCCACTGGGATCTCACTCGTGGAGATCTTTCATTTCATTTATGGATCTTAATAACAACACTTTTTCAAGATTACTCTATGCCCAGTTTTTTGATTTGTTGTGGACGTCATAGTCTGTACTGCAGGTTATTTTCTAGGAAACAGCTCTAGAAGATAGGAAATGAGATCACTGACGAAGAAAATAGGCTAGAAGTCTTCAGTATTTCAAATAATTAAAAGAGCTGATGATGGACAATTCTACTCTAGAGAAGGAGCAAAAAAGGTTTCAGCTTGTCAATAGTGTCTGACTCACTGAAAAACACCTGAATATCACATTTAAAGTCAATCTTAATATTCAAACCTGCTCCATTTAGATATGTCAGACCTGTATCTCTATAGAAACAGTAGCTTATAATTAACAAGGAAAAAACTGAACGCTACTTTTCCTGTTTAGAAGAAAATGAAGGGTAAAATTTTAAATGAAAGTGCTTTTGGGTTATCTGATATGGTATCAGCTATCAAGACCATTCTTGTAATTTTTTAATAGCTTTTAAATCTTTTTTGGATTTTTTACATTATTTATTCATTTGCTACTTTGCACTTAAGTATATATATATGTATACATATGTATATGTATATATATATATTTTTTTTTCTCAGTTGCTGTGTGTCATAACCTCCACCAAATATGTAAAATATAGAGACAAGAGCTTTGATATCTTCCAAATGCCTCTCTCAGGGCTATGCATATAATAAATGCTCTATTAATCAACTGCATCTGTATTCAAAGGTCCTTCAGTGGTAGTGAATAGGAAAGTAATAAGGCAGGCTTTCCAGTCTCCTCAGAGCTGAGAACAGCACAATGCTGTTATCAAGTGACTGGAGCAAACATATGGAGAAAGAAAGACTATTCCTTTGGAATCTAAGGAGACCATTGTTTAGTCCCAGAGAACACCTCCATTGCTAAGTCAGGGATTAAAGCCTTAAACAAGTTGTTTCCTCATACAAACACACAAGGATAAGGAGACTTACCGTATCTCATCAAGAGGAAGAGGATAAAGGACAAAGCGATCTAACATGGGCATGGCCAGTCACCTGCAATCTCTCCTCCCCCATCAATGGCCTCCAGGACCTAGAATGCCACCACCTAAAATCATAACCAGTGAGGGGTGCAGTGGGGATGAGGAGAACTAGAAAGTCTTCTAAGATGTAGTAGAAAATTCCTCTGCTTCACTAACAGTCTCACTTCCATTGTGCATTTAGACATCACAATGTCAATGCATTTTATTCATTTTTAAAAGATTTATTTATTTGTTTATTTGAAAGGCAGAGTAACAGAGAGAGGAAGACAAATACATATAAAGCACGCATGCACACACACACACAAGTCTTCCAGTTACTGGTTTACTTCTCAAAATGCGTACAACAGCTAGGGCAAGGCCAGGCTGAAGCCAGGAACCAGAACTCCACCCAGGTCTTCCATGTGGGTGGCAGCAACCCAGGTACTTGGGTCATCATCCACTGTCTCCCAGGCACATTAGTAGGAAGCTGTATTGAAAGCATGGATTAGTCAGCACTTAAACCAAGTACTCAGGTATGGGATGTGGGCATCCCAAATGGTGGCCAATCTGCTATGCTACAATGTTGCTAGTCAACACACAGGTACAGATCAGTAAATGCCCTTAAACATACCTAGGTAAGTAACAATTCTGTGTAGAGAGATACATCCATCCATGATTTAAGATACACAGAAGTCAAAGTTTCCAATTGCACCATGCCAGTCCATACAGTAATTGCATTCCCTCTGAATAGGAAATCAACAGGATGCTCTCATATAGAGTCCCTCACTTTAAAAGGAAAGAGTTAGGAAAAGCTGTGAGTAGTAGCCGGACTCTTCCCTCTACCCACAGTGTGATCTCAGAGAAGTCAGTTTAGTTCTTGGTACTTCAGATTTCTTCTTTGTAAAACATGATAATATATATTTTTAGGTATTTATTTATTTAAAAGAGTTAGAGAGAGAGAGAGAGAGAGAGAGAGAGAGAGAGAGAGAGAGAGTCTTCTGCTGGTTCACTCCTCAAGTGGCCACAACAGCCAGGTCTGAACCAGGCAGAAGCCAGGACTTGCATCTGGGTCTCCCATGTAGGTGCAGACGCTCAAGCACTTGGGCCATCTGCTGCTTTTCCCAGGCACATTAGCAGGGATCTGGGTTGCAAGACGAGCAGCCAGGATGCAAACCGGTGCCCATAGTGGATGCTGGCACCACAGGCAGAGGCTTAGCCTACTGTGCCACAGTGCTGGCCCCTGGGACAGGGATTTACAAACTGCATAGCTTTCTTGAATTCAGGACAGTTTGGGGACTCCATTTGGAAGACCTTACCACATATCATTTCAACAAAGATCAAATATAGCCATATGCTTGAATATATGGAATTGTTATTAGAGTTTTGAAAATGTTTAATTTTACTTCAGAGTCTTTTCTTACTTGGAATAATTTTTGTAAGTCTGAAGCATTTTTGCAATGAAAATTGCTACTATCTGTTGTGTGCTTAATACCCACCAGACACTGTCCTAAGTGCATTACATGCATAGCTCATTCTGTCCTCACAATGACCACCTGAGGGGTATCTTTATTTCCTCCATTTTATAGATAAAAAAGACAAGTCCCAAAGAAGTTTAAGCCAAAGATGGCACAGTTAGAAAGGCAGAGCTCATGTCATATCACAAGGCATAACCAGAAATTAGTGAAACCTAAATAACTTCCCAAGTGGCACAACTAGTAAAGGGAACAGCTTGAATAACTTGCCCAAGATGAGAAGACTAATAAGGGATAAAAGCAAAGAAACTTGCTCAAAATGGAATGACTGGTAGGAGGCAGACCCCAAATAAGTTTCCAAATTGCCACAGCTGGTGATGGGCAACTTCAGGGAGCTTCCTAATATTTCAGCACTAGTACCAGGTAAAACTCAAATAAGTCACTCAAGATGACTAAACCAGTAAGGGGAAGAAATTAAGTAACTCACCCAGGATGAAGCAACTAGTGAATGGCAGTACTGGAGTGACTTCCCTTGGTCACTAGCAGGTAAGCAATGGACATAGTAAGTGGTCTGGCTCCACACTCGGACCCCCTCTCTCTGCCAGGCACAATGACCCTAGGCTCTGTGCAGGTGTCTGGCCAGCTTCGTTTTACATTAATTATCTCCTCATTCCTTGCCAAGTGGTGAAAAGACAAAAAGAGCTGTCTCTCTCCACTAGTCTGGAGCTGAGAACCCCAAGATCTACAAGGTCCACTTTCAA